TTCAACAGGATCCTCGGAAAGAAAGCTTGACTCTTCTCTTTCATCGTCTGAATGTAGGAGTCCAGCATCTTCCGCAACAATTGGAACAAGTTTCACTCCTCGCTCCAAGCTACTCATGCCCAAAAAGTGCTCACAGTGTTAACACTTTTGAACACTTAGCTTCAAAAATTGTCAAAATATGAAAATGCTTAGAATTGAAATCTGAAACTACTCTCGCGTAGCCCACAAGCTAATACATTGGAATGTGAAAAAAAATTATCAAAATAAACTCAGAGTAAAAAATTATTAACTCCAAAGTTCAAGGGTAAAAACTTGAATCTAGACCCCACAAGGGAATCTTACTACCAAAAATTTACACGGAGTCTATTTCCAAAATTGTCTCTTGCATTGCATGCTTAACTTTCTTGGGAATAATCTTGCAAGATTTGAGTTCAAACTGACATCTCTTGCCCACTCTAATACACCAAAATTTCCAAAAATCTACTCTTTATTTGATTCTTTTGTGACATTATTCTTCATTTGTGACATTATTATAGCTGGCCCCTGTGCAACTTAGGTGGAAATTTTTTTTAGACTCTTCCAACCCAAGTATTTCGGAGCCACTTCAGATCCAACATTCTCGAATACTAAATCCGAGATTCGTCATTCCAAATGTGCGACCCTATGAAATCGCCATAGTCGAAATTGACCTCTATCTTCAAACACCCATAATTTCGTGACTTCTCAACGGAATTCAACAAAATTTAGGTCAAAATGATTGTTTCAAAGATTAGATCAAGCCTATGTGTGAAAATGTGAAAAATTCAATGACAAAAAATTTAGATTTTGAGAAATCAAAGCAATTTTTCTCATTGTAAAATGTAAGAGAACTCTCCGCTTCAAATTTCAAAATTTTCAGCTACTCTTCTAGAAAGAATCAGCTAACAATTACTTCAAATTGTGAGTAAAATTTTTGACAGCATTTTTGCGTCTTACTGGTCTGTAAAACTGTGAAAATCATAAATCTATGTGCACTGAACGAGATCTGATACCAATTGAAAGGCCTAACCATCCAGATCGATTAACACACACGACAGTCATAACACCGAAATAACGTAGTTCAACTTTCACAGACTACGTCCACGGGCAAGAGTAAAAACTTCACTAAAGCATAGGTGTATACACGACCTTCATAGTCAAGTTCTCATACTTCCTCATCACTTTTTAAGTGCAATATTAAACTGTACGTAATGATTGTCTACTCTCTTCTATACAAGAAGAGATAAGGTGCACATATTAACTAACCTAATCACCTTTAACTATCTAATCATGATTATCACTAACTAGAGTTAATCCAAGATAGAATTAACCTAACAATCATAACCACAAGTGATAAATAGATGGCGATGCTTCTAACCATGTGACAAACAATGTAAAATCATTATATTAGAAAAACCTGTGAAGATAATTAAAATGATGGCAGTTGAAGGAGAACGTCATAGAGTTGAGGTCGTGAGAATGCTCACGTTGCAGTGTAGAATTATGGAATAAAGCTTGATAATTTTTTCTACTTATTGTCTATGCACAATAATTTAATTTCAGTAGGTATATCTGCAGACAATGATCATGCTATATTATTTCCACAAAAATATTATTGGATCATGAATGACTAGGTTAACAAGCAAATTATAGCTATAGAAAGTCATGATCAATGTAGCATCATATTATGAAATAAATAGCATGACAAAAACACAAGAGACGCAAATTTGTGTGATTGTCGCTTTGGTCATCTCAATTTCTATGCCTTAAGTCATTTTTCAACAGAAAATCATATAATGGTGTTGTTTCAAGTACATCATATTCATAAAGTTTGCACAACATATTAGAATAAAAAGCTATCAAGAGAGAGATTTCCTAGATCATCGGCTAAAAGAAGTAGTGAATAATTAGAAAATGTTCACAAAGATGTAGTTTGGACTTTGATGTGTTCTTCACTAAACAAGTCCAAGTACATTGTAGCATTTACAAATAATAAATCAAGAATGTCATTTGTTTATTTTATGAAAGCAAAGAGTATAACTTACAACAAATTTTGAATCTTCAAGCAATGATGAAGACATAAGAAAAAAAACATTAATATTTTAAGATATTATAGAGTAGACGATTATATGTTTGTTAATTTCAAAGTAATGATGTAGAGACAAGCAAAAAAGAAGATCAAGACTTTAAGGTACTATAGAGGAGGCGAGTATATATCCAAAGAGTTTGAAACACACTTGCAGAACAAAGGCATCACAAAAAATCTGACACAACCTCAAACATCGCAGCAGAATGGAGTTGCACAACGACGTAATAAAACAATAATTGAGAAGGTTTAAACAAAAATTGAGAATCTCAGTTCCACAAATTCTTGCGGATTGAAGCAGTCAATACAGCAATACATGAGAGCATAGTTCATGTTTGTATTTCAAAGGACAAAAACATAGGAATATGAACAATAAATGAATACAGTGCATGTTTAATTGATTATGATAATGATTCAAAAGCATAAATATTATATTTTTCAAAATGTTAAAAAAGTTATTATCATGAAAGATGTTGCTATTGATGATGAGAGTGAAACCAATTTTCTTGATCCGAGTAATGCTTAGGTACATGAAGAAGATATCTTTTTTGTATTTTGTAGAAATGATAATCAATAGGAGGAATTTGAGAAAATGATACCAAGAGCAAGTTCAACCTCAATTTAAATCTCAAACATTAGTGATAGCAAACTTGTTAACGAATAGAGCATAAAATCAGAAGCAACAAATCATGAAAATGTGACTAAGGTCAAAAATCTCAAACAACAATAATAGCGAGTTTTTTGATGAAGATATCATATAAAATGAATCAACAAACCATGAAGCTGAATCATTTTCAACTTCAAGGGTTTGTAAACGACAAGGAATTTTTTTGCGTACAAAGCGCAATCTGATGAAAAAAAAAAATTCAAAATCTAGATACAAAGATGATTTATGCTATCTTGTTTAACATCAAAGTGAAGCAACATTTTTGTTGAAATCTCACACCCAATTGTTTGATTGAAGATCAAGGCTGTTAATTTTGCATTGACATCCACAAGCTGTTTGTTGTGTCCTCAGACAAGATATCTTCCACGATGTTTTGAAGTTCTTTACTTTTCATTTTTTGCACACATTAAAATGACATCTATCAATTCAATTCCAATTGATTTCAACAAATAGAACAACAAAGATAGAATAATAAATTATGTGAGTTTTGACTTTTTTCGTAGAAGTTATGAGTTATGAATAGTACACAAAAAAGACTCTACTTTAATTTTAAACATTAAAATGCACAATTTCCAATTGTATTGCAATTGCTTTATTCAATGAAACATCTATTCTGAACAATTTTACATTTGCTCCAACTAACTCAATTGCAAGGCACGAGTCTTCATGAACATTGCATCAAATTTCAGAATTTAATGGAATTTGCAAACGGTAGTTAACTACAAGACCGAAGCTCAAAATGCTTATATAAAGTTTTTGCGATGGTGCTGATAGCAGATTTCAAGTTTGTGCTAGTAAGTGATTTTCACAAACATGGCTGACATGAGGGCACACAATAACAAATTGAGATCCAGATATATCTAGAGTTGAGCTAGAATAAAAGAAATTAATATGTTCAACATACATAGAAATAAGAAAAAACAAAGCATTGCACTCACCACGACTCAACTGAATTGACTCACCCTATTCTACTATTCCAAAACAACAAGTCAACAGTGCGAATTTTGAGGTAATAAAAGCGAGAGTTGCAAAGATCCGATTTTACTCTACTCTGAAAACGATCAATGGAAATCGGTGAAAAAGATTGGTGATAATTGGTGTATATATAAGTCAAGTGTGCGACTTTCAGTCAAAGATCCACTACAATTCTGACACGCTTACAATTAGACACGCCATCCCTATGGTTGCCGCAACTACATTAATTTAGACACCGAAACGCACCGTTATTTACAAAATTTAGGCGCTGTAGTATACGGTCACCTAATATAACCATGCTTGCTCATGTTTAATAAGATTTTATGTAAACCTGTAAATTAGTTGTAACTTACAACAAGTCAAAGATTTATTAACTTTTCAAAAACTTTGACTTGGATCTTCAATGCATCAAATCTACATGCTCAAAAATGCCTCCAAAGAAGCTATTGCAAACATGAACGATTACATATACATATGTGAACTTCATACTCAAATGATAACAAAATTGTTAGTAGAGTTTCATAAAATCCAACAAAAATTTACAAAAAAATCTTCATCTATGCATCAATTATTATTGCTAATAGCACATGTAACTTATGCATGGTAAAATATGCAAATGGTGATTTTAAACATAGAGACTAATTGTGAGAAAATATTATTTCTAACAATGCTTTTGATGGGTTTTTGTGAACCAACAGAGATATTACACCCATCTAGATCAAGCATTGTGTACATTATCTGCTTATTTTGAGTTTTTATAAACGGTTACAATAACTTGAGTTCTTGTACACGGGTTAGAAGAACTCGTATTGGAACACGGGTGACATGTTCATCAGGTAAATATATCGTGTTACATCCCAACAAGTGTGTTTTGCGTTCCAAAGGAGTACCATCAAGTAATTTCTTCACACCATTTTAACTCTTATTTGAAATATAAAATTTTGCAATTATATCAAATGTGAAATGTTTCATCCTTGGGGAGTAATTACGTCCTGTAGACTTATCGTTTATTTGAAGTTATTCCTTGAAGTTTGACATCATAATATCACAATTTCTACTGCGAGTGTTGACGTAATCATAATCCTGGAGGGCTTGCGATTAAGAGATTTGAATTTCTTTATCTCACGAGTGCATTCAAATTCGCCCCTAGCTTCTGTCAATGAATACCAACCGTGATTTCGGTTTTCCCTAGTTGTCGACATTTGCAATAATAGAAGTTTAAGTTCAAAACAAATCTCAGTTGGTGTCAATTGTGGCAAATAGAGGCTCGACAAAGATGGCCGGTATTTATTACTTTGTTACACGTTTCTCCCATTGAAGCATCCGTGCGTGCACTTTGCCCAGTGTCTAGACACCCATATTGTGGCAAACTGATCATTTACAAACATTTCAGACTAAGGTGATATTCTATGATACAGACCATCTCATGACTTAATTGGTATTACCATCGGAACTCCGGGAGACGGATTCAAAACTTCGGTATTGGGAAGCTTTTTGAACAGCAACTCCTGCATGCAACAATAAAATGTCAGTCAAAAATCGCTAGTGGAATCCTTGAGCTAGAGCACAATCTCTCCGGAGCGTTGTAATCGTCGATATCTCTGCATGCAGGAGAAGTGAATAGACCAGATGTCCAACAGTTCAGCGTTGATATGCCTTTATATTGAAGTCGAAATGACATACGAGCGAGCTCACCTGAAAAGTCTCGTTAGTACCCTTCTGCCGCACAATCATCGACAGCAAACCTTTGCTGTCCAAATCTCCATTCTTCATTGTCACAACGAACCTGTAGAACAAGTTTGAGTGTGCAATTAGTGCAACAAATATCATCAGAGTCCTCCAATGTCTTCCTTCCATGTTTGCATCTTCTCATTTATAGCAAAAAAATTACTCACTTTGGTTTCAAGTATTCGGCAACTTTGACAGCGTCTTCCTGGCCAGACACCAGAACGTATCCCGGAAGAACTTGCTGAATCACGGGGGTAACAAGCACGTCCGCGCTTTGACCCTCTAGACTAGCATTCTCAAATATGCAGTGAGGCTCGTAGTAGATGCTGAACTTTGGCTCCTCGACTTCTATGAAGTACCTGAGCGTCCGAACACGTTTCTTGTCAGCAATCTTCTTTCAGATCTTTGCATAACGAGCTTGCTGTGGATTTCCAACGTAGATTAGCCAGAAAGAGGCACACTATTTCTATCACACTGACAGAAATTGAATAATTTGGAACTCACGGTCGTTTACCCGCTCTCAGGTCGTTGCCATGGAGGACCTAGGATTGGACCTGGTGATGCCCTTATTCTGACAACCGAGCCATTGCTTGCTTTCAGAGTTGTGCTTTCACCAGTTTTAGGTTCTAGGTAAGTGACCTAATTGAAGGGCAAGTTCATCAGTTTCGAATACGAAATGAAGTCTCGGAAGAAAAAGATTACAGGCAAATACCCGCTTGCATAGTTCCTTGGATCCATGCATTGAGCATCGGAGGGCAACAGTCGGAGATCACTCACCAAGACTTGCTACAAATCTTCAAACAGGACAAGAGTGTTGATGAGAGCAAACTTAAGTCCTTGTCACTTACATTTTTGAAGTACTTGCTCAAGATTGGCTCAGCGTTAGGAGAAGATATGACTCGCAGATTGGGCTTCAGCTGCGACAAAGGCTCCAAAGTCTTCTCGTGACAATGGTCGTCGTAGCCTTGACAGATGAGAAGACAGTCCAGTTCTGGCAAGTCCTCCAGCTGAGCAGTAACAGGGGTGACAACCCATCCGTCGTCTTAAAACCAAGCATTGAGCAGTACAGGCAGATGGACCAGGTATCTAAATTACAAACTAAATGCTTCCTTCTCCTGCTCTTTTCTTTCAAGGACATGAAGAGTATCAGCTTCTAGGAAGTAAAAATTTTGTGTTATGCAATATTCTAGGTTTACAACAAGGAGCGGTATTCAAAAGTTCATTGAATCCATACCTTAAATTCACGTAATGATTTCTTCGCGGCATCATACAAGAGTGGAATACCGAAGTCCAAGTTGCCTACCAGCACTGGATCGATCAGTACCTTCAAGCCCAGGATCTCCCAGAGCCATGAGTTTCCCTGTATACCAAAATTCAGTGTAAACCACTTGGCGGACCAGATTTTTCAACAGGAGTCTAGAAATCTGTAAGAGAATGAGACTTCGACAACCTGCTAAACAACAATGCGTTTGACAAAACATGCTACTAGATTGATACAGATTCTATCATTCCTGATTTCCACGATTTTGAGAACATTGTAAACGAGGACTATCAAACACAGCTCCCAGTTCAAACCTGTCTATACACTCAGATATAGAACGACCATATATCTGAGCTTTACCTCGAGGTAAGTCATCGACAATGGGGACGCACCAGGAGAGGTCGTCATTTCAGTTGTTTGTACTACAAACTCTTCTGAGCCTTTGACTGCAGATACTTTCAACCTTCCGCTGGCAGAAGTGGACGCTCTGAGCACATGTTGCCATATGAAAAATGTGAGAGCGTGTCAAAGATGCAAATTATTTTTAACATTTAAGTAAATGTTAAAAATATGTTAAGAGCAAATGTTGCCATATTTAACAGAAAAGCATGTGAAGAATTTAAGATAAAGTTCAAAGATTAAATAAGTACAGAGTCAAGTAACATCATGCAGTCATTACTATCATCTCAGAAGTACCATCATCCACGTGAACTGCAATATCAAAACTGCGGGCTGTTTCGCGAGCTAATCTTCTTTTGATTAAACTGTAAATCTTCAAGGAACAAGGCCAGTGAAATTCCTACTTCAAATCGAATTCCGTTCGGGCCTGTGTTGAAAATTGCCATTTTCTAGATTCTCAAAAATGGGAGCTCTGGCCACAGAATGGACATCATGCAGTCATTACTATCATCTCAGAAGTACCATCATCCACATGAAATGCAACATCAAAACTGCGGGCTGTTTCGCGAGCTAATCTTCTTTTCATTATATTGAAAATCCTCAAGGAACAAGACCAGTGAAACTCCTACTTCAAAGCGAATTCCGTTCGGGCCAGTGTTGAAAATTGCCATTTTCTAGTTTCTAAAAAATGGGAGCTCTGGCCACAGACCGGACAAGAGTGGAAAGCCAAGAGACGAACCGGGAGAGGCAAAGGGAGGGCTCGTCTCGTGAGCGTTCACTCGTCGGTTGAGACGACCCGAGCTTCAGTCCGGATGAAGATGTGCAGGTCACCCGTCTCGTGGAGCTGAAATTCTGGCGAGCTCGGGAATCAGAAAGCAGCGGACGAGCTGCCGAACAAACGGCAGCCGTGGATTGCAGGGCAGCTGCTGCCGCCGCCATGGCCACCGCGCTCACGCCTTCCTCTCAGAGCAAAAGCACGACGTGAGCGGGCGGCGGAGCACAATTCGAACTCGTCGCTCTCGGACGGGACGGGACGGGACGCGCCGTGTAACGGTTCTTTCTTGCGAATTCCAGGCAGCAGCTCGACACGAAGGCGCCACCGATTCTGGCCTTGAGGATTTGGGCGACGCGAGAGGATTGCTGGACTCGTCTAGCGGACTCGCGCTTTCTGCCAACGAGGTTCGAGATCGACGTGTTGCCGACGTGGACAAAAAGTGCGATGGGCCCTCGCGCACATTCCAATTGGCGTGATGTGGGCCACACGTTCCGGCGTTGGCTCCTGCTGCCCTTGCCCTGTGGACCGCTGTGTAAACCTCTCGTTCGCAGCCGTCGTGTATTCAGAGCATCCACTGATCCCACTGCGACCACGGGGCTCATGGAATCCTTTCCGCGATGGGACGCCATCCACATCAAAGCCAAGGCCGACGCAATTTCCAGAGCACAGGCCAAGTGGATGACAAATAAATAAAATGGTCAGACCAAGGGCTGCTGGCTAGGCCCTATCATATATTAGCTCTTAATAATTATCTTTTATATTTTGCATGCATCTCATGACTGACAAATGGCATCCCTCATCTTCCAGTTTTAATGTCGCTTGCATGCAAATCAGGAGTAAAGATGGAATTGGGGTAACAAAATCTCACCAATCAAATCAATAGTACTCTGATTCCCGAATTCTAAAGCAAGTTCGAATCTGAAGAAAATGGGAGTGTCAAGTTATCTCTATGAGTTAATTATCACTCACGTTGGACTAATGTGCTCTGACCAATCACAGAGCTTTATTCTATATAGTATAGTAGGGTGAACGACAATTAATCCAAATTGCGCGATAACTAGCCATTCTCCAAGAAAATATAAAATTTTGAATGCAAAATGAAGTGATGAATATGATGTCTTGCACCAATCACAACAAATCGTTATACTCTCCAACAATAATGACATATTTTTTTCCTCTACAAATAAAGAGGAGAGAGATATTCCCACCATGTAGTTATTGGTACTTGTAGATCTTAGTTAAGCTCGTACTCTCCGTACATAACATAAGTTCAAACTATGGTACTAGCTATACACTCATTCAAAAGCATAAGATGTAAGGATGGTTCTCCATAAATCATGTACTTTCTTACTAGAAAGTACATGGTATTTGGTAAACATCCTTACATCTTCTAACTTACCAATAATTTATCATTGTTGTCAGATTTATCTTTTATGATCAGAATATTGGGAGAATCTAGTTGTAAGAAAGAATTTTGAATCTTTCTAAAATTTGAAATTTGTAACACGCTATATTTGCATTAGACTTTCTATTATAAGTTTACAATTTCTTTAGATTTTTATGAGTTATTTATGCTTTAGTAAAGCTAGATCATTTTGAACAATTTTTCATCACTTTAACTTTTCTCTTCACAATTCAATATACAAATTCATTTTTGTAAAGGACTCTAAGTTTCAATACTTTATTTTGAATACATAGAAATAAAAATGTATCATTAAAGCTTTAAACAAGAAAAAATCACAATTAAAAATCTTGAACAAGCAAGAGTAGTATTTTTCCATTACACTTTTTTCTGTGATCAGTTTAATGCTTTGATTTTTTTGTGTCAATAAGTTCAATGAAATTTAAAAGAGAAAAAAATCATCTTCTATCATAATTCTCTTTAATCGTGCTTTGAAAATCTCACACCGTAATCTAAGATGATTCGAAAATACAAATTGATGATTTAAAAAAAAAAATTGATTATGAATTTTGTGAAAATGATCTCCAAAAGGTATCACTAAATGTAATAAAAAATAATGTTTCGGTTTGTATCTATTGTTCTAAATCTTGTGATTAAAGAAAATTGAAATTGATTTTTATGCTGTATTATGGTCAAAATAGCTTTTAGCTGATCTGAATTTTTACCATTAATGTAAATACACTGTTGACTGTGTAAACAAGAATTCAAGTTTTGAACTCTTAATAACTGCAGAATGAAACTTCAGCTACATCATCCAATAATTCAGTTTCATCATCGGACAAATTTTTCATGTTTGAAAAGCGAACCCTGTCACATACAATTAATAGATATGCGAATGTGTGAAATGTGCACCAAATCTATGTCTTGACAACACCCATAAGTAAGCATGGTAGAAGAATAGGCTACGATAACGGTGTTGAACAGAAAGTGTGATTTCGTCGGCACAAGAATGGATACGAGGATTAGATGGATGGTGGAGCTAAATAACATAGCTTAGAATGTTTTATCATTACGTGACTACGTAATAATTGTATGTAAACTATGTAAGTGAGATTTAGTAGAGTATTGGCATCAGTTGATCGAACTTATCACCATATCCAGTAAGGTCTCAACTGTCAGCTCCATAGTCCGGCTAGCTACTATATCCATTGGACGAGATCATAGTCAGCAGCATGCAACTGTACTTACAATACAGATAAAGAATTGCAAATACTACTAAAATTCCGTCCATGCACAATCTCCAAGTAATGTTTTGGATGAGAAGCATACCACTACTCTGTTGGCATGCAATTCTTCATTGGTTGAGTGATTCCAGTACCATTCTATATACGAGATCTTACTATGACAATGGAGACATAGCTGGAGATCTCCAACGCTGATATGCTGATATCATAACGAGATCACAGTCCGGCTAGCTACTGACGTGCGTAAGTTTATCGGACGGATGTTCATGAGGGAAAAGTTAGTTGCTTCAAGGCCGAAATGCAGAATATATTTATCACCGAGCACATCTGTCCTCTGAACTTAAAAACAATCATCAAGACTCACGTAAAAAACAATGATAAAAAACTGACGTTCACACACAGAATGAGATAAAATGCTGGACACCAAGAGATCAGTAGATGGGAGAAAATAGGTGGAAAACTCCTCCCAGACTTTTGATTTTGTAGAACGTGCGGCAAAACCTGAACACACCGACAGGTGGACCAATATTCTACATGTCAGGTTTATGGTGGATTTGAAGTGTTCGACAAGGTCAGTTGATTCAGCTTCTTCGACAGCCATTAATTGTTGATCTGTCGATGGACAGTTCCAAGGCTTGGAAGAATGAGCCAGTGAGATCATTTTGATTCAGGTACGAACTCAGTGCTCTTGTGATTCTCAAAGGCTGATGTAAATAATGATGAGCTACTGACAAACTGCTGTATATGCTCACGCGAAACTGTGAACATACGAGGTGTCAACGTAAAAGGCCCCGTTTCATACAGACTCCTATCATCAGTAGTGTCAAACGGTATTTCTCTAAGTAACATGCTCGGTGATATTATTCCAATGTCACTTCAAACGTGCAACTACCCTAAGCCCACATTCAAATGGCACGATACTGGAGTGGTGCCATGGTGACTTGACAAGATTAGCCTTCTATCCCATTCTAAACACTCAGCGAATACTGCCATCTCGTCGTCCCATATTTGCATAGCCTCGCTTACTCGATTCAGCGTAACACAACAGCAGAGCAACCGCGTGATAAAGGAAGCTTTCATTACCTCTCGATAACAGAGCACCTTGCGAAATGATCATGTCTTCAAATGCCTTGCGAACATTTTAATACGTCTTTTTCAGCTTCATAGTATCAATCGCAGCACCTTTGTAAGCGGTGGCAACCACGGGGTACTGATCGACAAACCTCTCGACAAACCTCTTCTCTGACATGATCATGATGGTGTTCAATGAGTATGCTTCTTCTCGCACTAAGCCTTTGGCTTTCAGCAATGATAGCACCCGGTGTCGAGGTTTGATTCTCAACTCAAGGCTGTAGAGCAAATAAGAAGGGCATCTGACAATCTCCGTGACAAAGCGGTTCATGTGGTTAACCAGATAATGAACCTTGTCTTGGATGCACTTCTCGCTCACAGTGAGTATGGCAGGTTGTTGCTTCACAACTTCTCTGCTTTCCTCCAGACTGAAACCCAGCGATTCTAGATTGAGAAACCGTGCTTCCAGAGATGCTACACTAATTGTTATACAAGCCCCCAGTGCCCTGACCATCTCCACCGAACCAGGAGCAAATCCCTTCTGCTTGAAGAAGTCCAGCTTCTTGTTAAGGTCATTTACACTGAGAGTCAAAGCTCGAGGATGCGAAGTCATCAATTTCACAAGCCTCCTGCCTGTCAACCCGTTGGCCTCGAAAAAGGCTACTTTCTGCTTCAGATTATCTTCCAGACTCACGGCCGTGATCTCAGGGTATCTTGTTAGAATCTTGGCTATGCCTGCTCTTCCTACTCCAAGGCTCTGCAACATCTCGATTTTCGGCCTCAGTTTCTTCTCCACACTCTGGCGGAAAACTAAGGGCCAGCGAGCTATAATTTTAGCCATCTTCTCTCGCTCCAATCCTATGCTGTCAAAAAACTGTATTTTGCGTTTCAAATTTTCTAACCTCAGATGTAACAGCTGCGGGAACAGCTTCAAACTCTGCTCGACTTCGGACTCGGATAAACCACAGGCAAGAAGAAAATCCATTCTTTCCCTGAAGTTGCCAACCGGCATGTCGATGGCAGCCACGTGGGGATCGGTTTTCAGAATCTCAGCTATGACGTGCTTCTGTATCCCAATCTGCTCCAGGTGCTGCAGAGTTGCCAGATTTTCTGTAACGAAGAACGAATTCTCGATAAGTCCTACCATATCCTTGCGCTTCACTCCCAATCCCTCCAAAAAGTCCACAATCGCTTGCATCTCCGCAGCAGTCAACGTCAGTAGCTGCTTGTTACGCTCCAGTACGTCCCAGAGGCCGTGCCTCGAAATCCCAAGGCTCTCCAAAACTTCCGTGCTCTTCAAAAGACCTTGCTCTCCAACAAGAGAAACTTGGACCAGAGAAAGGACATCGTCCAGCTTGTCAGGACTCATCCCAATGCTTTCGAAGAATGGCTCCAATTCATTCACTCCGTTCTTCTCCAACCACTGCTCCACCACCATCTGTCCGACATCTGCACCTCTGCCCATGGCCTGGACGATTTTCTCCAAAAATACAGGACAATGTCTACTGATAAAATGTGCGTCCCTGGCTGCCAGTCCCTTCTGCTTCTGTAAATAGCAGGATACAGCCTCTTGCGCAGCAACATTGCAGTCTGAGCTACTGCTACTCACACAAATTTCACCACTTTCGGATCCATCATCACTCCCATCGTCACTGACATCGTCAGATTTTGAGAGACCTTCTTCGGCTGATCCGAGAGCTCTTGAATGCACGTGAAAAATCCTTCTGGGCTCGTTCTTTAGGAGACAATAGTTCGAGGAGGCCCAAGGGTAGGGATGAGTCAGGGGCGATGATGGAACACGAGCGCTGGAATTGCATCTGTGCGTGTAAGGGCCAGTATCTCCACCAGGATGGGCCGAAGCACAAAACGCTGACTGTCCTGAGATTGGCTCGCTACAATCATCTCGAGAAGGATTTGCACTTCTTTGTATGACAGACAAACAAGCCGCAGCAATAGATCCCCATGAAGGGCGACGAAGAAGTGCGTGAGGCAAAAACCATCCACCATGGCGCAACCCCTTTCCACCTGCCTTCATGTAATGAGTTGTGGAGAAGGTCCACGCTCTGCGGCTCATTGTCACATGAACGAGCTTGCGCTCGACTCATTCACATCTGATGATGCAACAATGTGACCAACAACATGTCAGCCGACTCCGACCCTCACCCGCCGTGGTGAACGAAAAATGCCATGTCTTTAGGACGTCATCATAGAATCACTCCATGATTTCACTCACTCAGACAAATCTGCCCAATAATGGCAACAACTGCAAAAGTTTCAGAAGCAAGCGAGCAATCCTCAAGCACAACTTTCGAACACCGATAGAAACCAGAAACGGATCCATCCAGCCCACAAATATGAAATTTACAAATTCTTGTGATTTGAGAAATCCAAGACCACCGATCTCATTCGGTCGGAAGTACTTACAGCGCCATTGTCGACGGGCTCCTGCTCGTCTTACAGGTGTAACCAGTTGTTTACAATGAATGTCTTTGAGGGGATGAATTGTCGCTGGATCCATGGGCTGCGTCGCCATGTCAGGGGACACGGAGAGCAGCCAGAGACTGCAGCCGGTGACAGAAATGATCCGATCTGTCAGCACCCATGCTCGACTTTCGAATCCAGGCGGAACCCTAACGAGAAAACAGTCGACGCTTAGCACATTGTGACAATGGCTCACATTCAAACTCGTTCATGAAACTTACGTCCAGAATAACTCCATTGTCACGAGCAATGTGCGCAGGCTCGCAACATCTGCGATTGTTTCTCACACATCACAGCACAGCAGTGGAAACTGATGGACTTGGTTCCAGTCCATTGGCCGACTGGGCACTGGCTGGCTCGTACATTCCACCAACAACACTTCGTCCGCTCCTCGAAGCTCGAGCAACCGCAGTTAGATCGGATGCCATAGGCACGAGGATTACTCCACGTCCGAAATTGGGAACCGCAGTGACGATCCCAACTCCGATCGTGGTGACAGAGTTTCAGCTGACTGTTTCGTGAACTTCATCTCATTTTGGGTTCAAAAGCCTTCTACTGTTGCTCGAGTAGAAACAGTGGAACTTTTTAGAGGAGTACGAAGACTTTGCATCCAATTCTGGATCCTCTGCTTCGTGACTTTCTTGGTTTCGTAAAGGTGTCGTGTGTGAAGAGCTTCACCACTTCTGATAAGTTGTCGTATGGGGCATGTGTGAAATACAATAATCTCAACATGTGCCTCGCATTTCTCAAGTGCATAAGTGAGAAATATTGGAAAACAATGAGGACGTGTAAGTCCATAACATGGTTCTAAATATGTCCAGAACTCTAGGAGTAACAGGGAGTCACTGCCAATAGCATCCAAATGGTAAAGATATGCTCTCAGGTGCACATTCCATCTTTGGCACTTGCATATCACCTAAGATGAATTAATCTTTGCCTGTAAGGGTTATACATTAGGTCACGTTCTGATTGATTGTGGATGTTTCTTAAAGGATTTCACCTGCTGAAATATTGATATCTCCCATACACTGGAATGTCCGAGTAAACTTCACAATCAATGACTAGTCTTATTAAGCGATAATCAACCTCCTTTGCCGTCTGTAGTACTAGCTCAGGTTCATTGTAATCAAGGTAGAGCTAATTCCGGACGACTAGATAGTTTCAAAAATCCTCTACACCTCAGCGCCGCAGAGGTGATTTAGGCCAAGACACCCGTCTGAAAAGATTTCTAGATTCAGTTGTGATTGGGATTGGGATTTGATGCCTGGGCAGGTCATATCCTCTACGGACTTTCGAAGAAACCAATCAGATGGGTGGGCGCACTCGAGTCAGGCAGCTGGAAAATGAAGCCGGCATAATCCGCGTCTTGTACACTAGTCTACTCAAGAAATGAAAGCAAAATAGACCATTATTCAACAGAACTGCCGGCCTCAAAAGCACTGCCATTTGTACTTCGTCGAATCCTGGACCTTGGATGCTGAAAAACCCTACCCTTCCATCAAATCGAATCCATCTAACAAGATAGATTTCAGCGTGAACGAAACTCTTTCCGTTGTGAACGAGAGAAAATCCTAAAACTTCCACTTTTGAAACAGAAATCCCGCCACACCGTCCGTGTTTCATTAACCACTGTGCCAGATTACAGAACTGCCTTGATAACACATGTTTGATTAAAGGAACGCATTCACAACGTGACGTTCCATCTAAACAGACCATATCATCACTGTGAATGCAATTCGTCTAAGATGGGGAAACAACCAGAGCCAGAGAAACAGGATCCACCAGCGTCAATCAAAACTTGGGAGAAAGCAACCACTCAGAAAGTGAGGCACTTGGCGACCAGAAAGGAAATCGTAAGATACCGATCTCTTCTTATGAAACATTCAAATGAGTATAAACAAGTTTCGAAGGACTAGACGAAAGCTTCTTGAGTACCAAAGGCAGGACGTGCTTGATATTTACGTACACCTAACCTAAAAAGAATGTCATGAACAAAATTTGAAGTCACTTCTCAGTCAAATCCAAACCACTTGGCGAGAGGCGGTTGTCATGTCCGGCCTAGGTAACCTCTAGAACACCTCCGTCTGCTATGCGATGGATGCCAGTATAGGCTTGTCCACACAGATTGATACCTCTACGATACTGATGACATGCTAGACCCAAAGTGGGCAGCATACTAAATGGCTATTTTTGTGAAACTCACGCGAGCCATGAAAGTCCAAAATGTGATGGGGACTTGTGTTCCTCCTGTGGGAGCATTTTTTTCCGGACACACCCTAAACGCCCCATCCTTCAATACAACAAAGTGTACTTCACAGGTTATGGGGTGTCAATGCTACAAGGGAGATCAAACTGTACCTATCAAAGGTATGTAATGGGTAACATAATCTTCAAACGCCACTAGTCATTGTAGTGGCTCAAGTTATTTGTCCTACCAACCTGAATGCCCAGCATTCACACCTGAACCATGATATTCGTCACAGTTGAGAAGAAACCCATCAAAGTCACTCTATTCGAGAACGGCTAAGAGATAAGGTACAGAGGGAGGATTTTTAGCTAAGAGGTGAATTTACACAAGGAGGGTCTAGTAAAAACCCAGGCAGCCGTGACTCTAGTATAGAAAGCAAGCTTATTTTGCTTGCCTTAATGAGTGATTCTTCTGAAAACATCCGCGATGACAAACGCACAGCAGCCTCTACAAGTTGCCCTCTAAGCCACTGAGACAGGATGACTCCCTTAGCTGATGAGCATTCCTTGTATAAGGGCAAGTAGGCCACTGTGACCTGGAGTTGCAAGGGAAGTTCTTGCAAGTGCAGAGGTGAGCAACCCCTCTTCAGGGCCCGCATCACGTTTAGATGATGTGCTTGTCCCAGCATTCTACCCCTCAGAAAAGCCTCCTCTGACCATTCCTCTTGCAAAAATGAACGCAGCTCAGGTGTAACAGCTTCGTCTTCTGATTTAGCGATACCATCTGCAATTCTGTATGTAGCCTCAGGACTATTCAAAAAGTCCGCCTGCAAAAGAAACGCAATCCCTTTCAGCGATCCTCCGCTTCGCTCTCCCGCTGCTTTAAGGATCTCCGCGCTGAGGGTCTGGAGAACATGCCGGGGCACATGACTCAAAAGATACTCGGCGATGTCAACTCGACTACTTGAAGCTGCAGCGGTCAAAGCTAAGCACAGTTCCATATCTCTGCATCCCCTCCGTACAAACCAGTGCACGACTTCCATGCAACCGCGTTCTGCAGCTCTCATCAACGGTCCAAGGAAAGCTTCCGCGTTCCCATCGTCTACTAAACAATCCATGGTACCAATCTTGCAGTAGTGGGAAGCAAAACCCAACGCCAAGTCCACGTCTAGCTCCATTGTATTGCTCTGGGCGATCTGTTCGAGACAAAAGTAAATGATACCACCGATGAGTTCATTCACAAAGATGATGGGCATAAGCTTCATGAAATATCATCAAGTTGTCAAAATCTAGGTGATGTCTCCGCATCACCTAGAGTGCAAATCCATGAGTACAATACTGCGCCGGTTTTTCTTGGTACAATGCAGGAAAGCAAGTGTTTTGCGATACTATACTTGACGAGTAAATTTTCCGTTTAGTACAACATGTGCAAAATAACTTGAGATAACTAATAACTTCACCTGTTAAACACTTGCCTCAGACTGTTGACAGGTAATTAGATGCACGAGTTATGAGGTGACTCCTACATAGAAATATCACAATTACTAACTACACATTCTAAAATTACTAATGGATGATTCACTCCGTGGATCCGGAATAAATCATCTAAAGATATTCATGAACTGAGAACTGATCCACACTTCCATAGTAGGAGATTTAGGGGAGGATGCACCCAAGAGAATGAAGACCCTACCTGCAAAAGAATTCGCACAAGCTCTGTGCTGCCAAACCGAGCTGCTTCTAGAAAACACTGATTTACATTGTCCGCACCTCCCTCCACCAGCAATCCCAACAAGCCCTGCATCGCACTAGCTGCTATACCCGTGGCCCATCCTGGATCAATTGCACTGGAGAACAAAGTCAACGGAAAACAGGCGGCATCAAAGGCCTCTGTATAATCCTTGCTGGTCAAGCGATTTCCGGCAAGGTCAAGAAACCGTTTAAAAGCCATCAGTTGGAGACGCGATTCAAGAGCCGAGCTCTGCACAACGGCGTTACTGCTCTCCCCTTCACCCTTAATTCGTCCTCGTGAGTGTGAGCCTATGCACTTCAAGGCCCACTCCGTAAATCTCTGTACCTTAGCGGCTGCTTCAGCTTTCAAAACTTCGTCGCCGTTGCATTCTTGCAGCCTCTCACGCAACCTGTGTGGAACACTGAAATTAACTCCTGTAAACATCTTACATCTACAAACTTAAACAAAAATTTCATCCAATCTGCTCCATGTCTTGAATCATGGTCTAATCATTTGCAGAGCAAGCGGTGTTCCTACTTTGATCCAGCTGCTTGAGACGATATAAACTTCTACAGCGGTGTGCAGAGAGCTTCCATGATGCACGAATGAATGATGAGGACAACCTCGACAGGGCAAAGAAGCTTGACCGTGGCGTTTATTAACTTTTTCCACATTAAGCAATTAGTTAAGACCAAGATTCATCATCCAAGTGAGCCTTGGGCAGCCCGAATTTCTCGAGCACTAGGTTTTGCACCTCGAAATAAATACAAAATTTTAGCCCACTCGGATTACTTGACAACACAAATCCGAAGGAGTTCACACCCATGGGAAAGATTGAGAAAAAACACCACTCTAAACTTTGTTGACGACTCATTTATGCATTCTCACCCACGTCCCAAGTCCAAGACTGATGTTGAAGGACTTGCAACCTGTAAAGACTAGAGGAAAGTCAGACGACCCCTTCACAAATGTGCTGTGAAGGACGATATACACGTGAACAACCCAAAAAACGTCTACAAGTTCAAGGTCCTAGGCAGTGCTGATGACTCAGACCGTATACCCATCTCTAAGAGGAAGAACTATGATAACGATGCACCTCTGTGACAAGAAATTGGTGGGAAAGATTCTTGTACATACTCGCGACTGACCCTGGCAAAAACTCAAAGTTTTCTCCGTTCGTGGCGTATAAACAAGATGAAAAAATCCCCCGTACTGACCAGTGGTTGGACAATTCTATGCCCTTGGTTGACTTCCACACCTTCTTTGATGCTTGTCAGCAACTTTTAGGCTTCACTGACACCAGATTTGTAGAATGAAGAATAAAGACGGATTCAGGGACAATGTGAGAAACGGATGCCCCAAAGAACCCTCAGCCTCTGTCTATGACGCACTACCGTCCACGCCTGGAAGAACGTATCAGTTTCGGCTCGGTTCGGTGCGGCCGGCCAAGACCAATTTTTAAAGTCCTCTACTTCCCCTCTCGCAGGAACGTAGACGCGGTGAACAAAAGAGTGTAAAAAGCAGGACCAGAGCAAGTGCCGAAAATATTGATGGGGGGTCTCAATCAATGATACACAAAAGAAAACTGCATACACGACCAGAAACAGGAATGAGCTGCACGGGCGACTACCTTTGCGCCATCACGGTGACGGTGTCGGCGAGACTCATGGTTCGACTTCTACAGGCTGAGACGCACGAGGCCAAGAAGGAAGTCCTGAGTGCTGCCCTCGTGAAGTCCGAAGCGCCGGCTGAAATCAGCCTTTCGATCAACCTGGTGGCCGCCGCCAGCTCCTGAGTGGTACTCAAGAACCAGACGGAATCCAGTGCGATGCACAACCCGTCGTTCAAGCGCTGTGAATCAGCTAACGGAATGAAACTCTCCGCCAGCAACCAATCGTGAGCACTCACGGCTAACTGAAAGGATCGTCCGAGATCCTGTTTGTCTCGTCTCGAACCACTTCTCGCATCATCATCGCGCACACAGCTTCTGGATCCAGCTCGGAATTTAGAACTGCACAATTTCACACGACTGCAGTCGCCTCTTTCCCGTACGACGAGCACCCCATGGCTGGCGGCCTCTTTCTGGCCTTCGGCTAACAATCCCCCTTGGGCGCTGTTGGTACTCGCCTTTTCTCTTCCGCTGGTGAAGGCTAAACATTCAGGCGTATGCGTGTGGTCGATGTTGAAGCGCCCTCCACACACACCCAAGTCGCATTCGAAGGCGTGTCTGACCTCCACGCCTGATTCGTCTTCTTCCATCGGAGATGCTTCTGGATCTCCCATCCTTTTACATAAAACTGTCTCCCGACTCTCTCTAACGACCTCTATGGGGGTTTAAAAACCTGCGCTCCGCTCAGCTAAAGGAGGCCAAGCTCATATTCTTGAAGAGGTGGAGTCAATACCAACAGAGTTTCGTTTCTCAGATCAGCAGAGCTAGTAGAAACGCTCGCGATGTTTGAGTACGGCCACTCGTCTGTCCTGCAAAAATGAATCCATGCCCGAAAAACGACAACTAGTGTTTCAGAGGAAGCAACGAGCGAATTGAGCGAAGATGGACGGCCAGCTCCTCATCGTCAGGCCCGGAGAGACAGGGTTCTTCTAACACACAAAGTCTATCCTCGGGCTTGCGCCTCAAATTGATCAAACAAGACGCTCGGGCTCGACAGAGGCAGCAATTGCAGCACTCGCACCCCATCTCCTCCACTTCCTCGCGTCGTCACCAGGCACCATCATCGACAAAGACAAAGAGCGAGGCTCCGCTCCGGACATCATCGATCACTCCCTCGCCACAGTTCCACTCTCACCTCGCCACAACCTGCAACCCCGTCGTCCGCCATTCGCCGAAGCGACCAATTCAAAACCCACACCGCAATTCCGCCCGATCCCCTCGCTTGCGCCGGAGCGCCCAGTCCCGGACTCCCCAGCACCCAAAGCCTCGACCAAGATTCAACACCAGACCAACGGCCTCTCCCGAATCCTGCCACTCTTTTCTTCACCAGAAGTCGCCTCAAACCCTAATCGAACCCCACCATCATCAATCCGCGCTGACCCCGCAACAGCACCACCATCATCAGCACCCGCAACGCTCAAGCATTCGTCCCTGGCATTCATCGGCGCCCGCACTCTCACCACGACAACGACGACGCCCTGGGGCCAAAGGCCAAATCGCCTCCAATCCTCGCCCCGCCCCCGCCTCGCCTCTCCTCCCCTCCCCTCTCCTCTCCTCGTCTATTCTCGCCTTCCTGCCTCTCTCTCGTGGGCCTCCCCCTTCCCCTTCCCTCAGCCAGCCCCAGCCAGCCTGCCCGCCCGCCCGCCCGCCCTCTGCCGCGCTGCTGCTGCTGCTGCTGCTGCTCTCGCCCGTCAGCCGCTGCGCCCGATTTTGTACGCCTGCGTCCACAGCTGCAGTTGAGCAACACGACAAACCAACAGCAAACGAACAGAGCAAAGGGCCGAAGAATTCAGCCGCGCCAGGTGACGGAGCCCCGGCCCCAGCCCCACCTCCTCCTCCTCCTCCTCTGCTGCTGCTGCTGCTGCTATGGCGCTCGGGGCCTTGCCTTGCCTTGCCTTGCTTCTCGACCTCTGTCTGTCTGTCTGCTCTGCTCTGCTCTGTCTGCCCTGCCCCGACCCGCGCGACCCCCTGCCGGGCCCCGGTCGCGCGAACGGACCGATCCTTCCTTTCGCCTTCCGCCTTCCTTGTCTCTTCGTCCTTCGCCGCCCGGAGGAGGGAGGGCAACCCTTGCGGAGGGCAACCGAGGGTGAGCTCATCCCGGGGAGGAATCCCGTTCCGGCACGTGGATCCACTGGACTGGCTGATGGCTCCGGGACCGGGCGGCGGACCGCCGCGTGGAAGCGTCGCAGCTTATCTCCAAGTGCCGCGGATGCGTAGAGCTTTGTCCTGAGTGATGCCGATGAATCGATCTGCTCGGTCGGTCGGTGACGCGGAGGGATGGCGGTCGAGCTGGCGGAGAACACGTCGGCTCTCCTCCGCCACTAACTGGAGCTAAATTCCATTTTCTGGTCAACTAGAGGCCAACTATGTTTAGAACCTCAGCGGGGCGAGTTCACCTACTGTCTCCCCGTGAATGACCGGCGGAACTGGCCAACCAACTTCCGATCGCCTCACCTACTCGCGAGTCCCTGGCCTCTGTTCTCGAGGCTGCTTGTTCGTCAACGACATTCCAGAAGCTTTATTGCGGCCTCCTTGCGCTCAGGCGAAATTACCCCGCAGCGGTGTTCACCTGCAAGCCCGCGCTCGATGACCGGCGGAACGGGCGACCGACGCCTGCCAGATTCCTCCGCCCTTCCACTTCTGCGGTTTGCCGCCCACCTGCTCTGTCCAGTCGCTCCGGTCCATGGCCTATTTCCTCCAGGTTTCTTGCTCTGTGTCTTGTTGACGTGTCATCGTCCCTCCAACTCAGCATGAAAATTATTATCATGCTCAGAAGATTGTTTGCAGAAAAAGTATTTGCTCTTTGACACTTGGCCGTCGGTACGTCGATGATCAGATAAATTTTAAAGGGAAGCCTTGATCGAAAATTCTGAGCTATTCGTTAACAATATTTGTGCTCAAGTTGTCGAGCTCCTACATTCCGCGCGGTCGGCGGTGGAGAAATTCTCGCGATATAAATTGTGTTTTCTTGCTCGAGCAAATCGGAGGGTCCCTTCTTCGGCCCGGCTGACGAGAATAGAACTTGCTTCACGGATACTCGAATTTCTGTCCACTCAAGATTGTCGGTATCTTACCCTCCACGCTCGATTGTCGTCCTCCTGCGACAAGCACAGAATTATGACTTCTAACGTAATGAACGGAAACGCGTGTGAACGGATACATCGAACATGGAGCAATGGGTTGTGAACGGTTGTGCCGGTGGACCGAGATACAGGCATTTCTTTTGTACTCGTTTAATAACTTTGCGTTGATATCTGTAGATCTCGATTTGCTCTCTCCATGCCCTAAGCCCTTGCATTGCCACGACCTGACCGTGACAAACCTTGCACACAACGTTGGTCTCCAATTTGCAAGTACTGTACTGTATGATGATCAGACAAGTTCAAAAGACGTATGGCACAGTTGTTACATTGAATGATTGCCAAACCCACTAAATCATAAAAGGGCTCTTCATACTAGAAACAGTCAAATTTTATTTCCCTCTTTCGTGCTGACGATAACCTTTGACTCTGTTTGCGATAGACCCTTCTAACGCAATCCCATGACTTGGAGAGAACAGAAATTTACTCCCGACTTGCGGATGTCATACATTGGGTGACAATCAAGCATAATATTATACCTAATTTGTATAAAAACATATGAAGATCATCATACCTACGTTAAAACAACCGAATGAAAACCCAGAGACCAAAGTTTGTCCTCTAGACGATTGTGTTGGAAAAGGCGCCCTTGATTTCATGTGCCTCCTTTCCTCTGCTAATAACTCAGTTCTTCCCGATCAAAATAATCACACATTTCGAAGTAAATGCTCTGCAGCGATCTTCCCCTGAGAATGCAACACATGGTTTGCCATCACTTTACTAAAAAAGATCTTTTTCACCCACTTGAAAGTGTCCCAAAAGTTTTACTTAAAACTGGTTATATCCTGTATCCATATTTGGTGCAGACCCTTCATACATAAGCAGATAACTCTGCAGTCTGATAGGATTATCACCGATTTATCCCATTGCGCCATCCCTACTCCATATACATCCGAAATTCCACATGTGGGGATGAAACTAAACTTTCATTGAAAAGCCATAAAACAAACACAGGGGTCTACAATGGATGCATATACCGCAATGCACCTAGTTGAGTGCTTAAAAGACACAATTGAAGTACCATCCATTAAAAAAAATGTACAGTTATATTATCAATGGTATTCCTGGGCTAGGACCCGATAAAATCACATTTTAGAAACATATCACATCACACCTCCTATGAGATCTTAGCTTAAGATAGGTCAATTTTGAATCAATATTCTTTTGCATGCTTGTTTATTTAAGCTATTTCTTTATAATCACTATATTTATTTTCTTATTTCATTATTTATTTAGTTTCTCTCGATTGCTGATCAGATGAGTTTGAATGCATTCGGAAGATATAAACAAATGCCAGTTATAATCTTATCGCACTGCATACCAACTTTCTCTCCATGTATGAGCTAAATTAGCTAATATACTGAAGAATATGAAATATAAGATGGAGAGACAAATATTCTTGAATAGTACACATTTCGATGATTAATTTGATATGCATCTCCCATCATAGAAGACTTGCTTCTATATACTGATCCCTCCTAGTCTTATCCGTGTTGTGTATTATAGGATCACATCTTCAATCGAAGCCAACCATGAAAACCTTATCAACATGATGGATGAGAGGAGCGAATCGCCATCATAAATCCTATTCAAGTTCACCTACATCCCCGTACATTGGAAACCGATAAAATGGAGTCGAATCAGCATAACAATCCACTGACTGCACAAGGTCATGAAGCAGAGTTTCATCGAACTGAACATTCGAGGTCGGTATAGTTCACGTTCAGCCACAATTTCAGCTCAAGCTCTTTATCCGATATAATGTGCACTTCTCCACCTCGACAGGTCGTATTGTGCAAGCATCCACATATAGACATGGCAGACTTCATGTGCTCGTGTGATTAGAAAATCAGTTACTCCTTGAAACTGTTTCGAAGCTCCTTTCTTGATACTCATGTTGTGTTATTTTAATTTCTGCCTGCTATTCGCTTGATTATTCTTCATCGTGTGATCTTCTTTTCCCATTTTCGCAAAGTTTTAAAAAGTGTGCTGAATGATTTGACTTTGTAAGAAAGTCTATGCAAAGTATCCCACACTATCTTTACCACCATTGGAATATATCTTCTGAGTATGGGAAACATAATTTTCAGATCAACAAACACACTGGAGTGTGAAAATCCAACACCCCCTATATCTGAAAATGAATATGATAAGACTATTCTGGACGGAATCAACCTATAAATGCACACATTTATGTGCATAGATCTCAGAATGAGTTTTATCCAGTTTCATATATATCTTACATTAAGAATATATACTCTGGCATTACGTGAACTATATTGAGTAATCACACACTAATTCTCTCATCTGAAATTAAATATTGAATCATCTTCCAGATACATTGCAGAGCTTTTCGGAGCACACTTTCTGAACACACACAAAACTCCCAATCTTCGTTTTTTCTTTGAGGTGATGTGTTAAAAAATAATTTATGTCAGTTCAGTGAGTGCTTCTTTATCTTCTTTTTCAGATATCACAGACATCAACGATCAAACCTGAAATTAATTTCTATAAATCACCAGATCAAAATTTCAAAAATTTTCTGCAACAATGAAATAATCACATCCAACCAATCCTAACTTTCTTGATGGCAACAATTTGTATACATGAAGTACAACTAGACATTTGTTTATAAATTGACCCTAGTATATAAAGGCTTTGGGATCAGATTATTTCGACTAGGGCGTCGCATGGGAATGGGAGTCCACAAGAACAAAATTTGGATCTAAAGTTTAAAATCATAAAAAAATTCATTCCCGGAAGAGAGATGCACTGAACCCTCAAAATCTAAGCTATATATGTGACATACCGGCAAGATAGAGCTATCACATTATAACTAGGAGACATAACATACATCATGTATTTTATTCCTATCACTGTATTGGACTTTGTATACAAGTTCCAAAATCGAACTGGAATGAGATTTTTTTGTAGTCAAATTTTAAATTACACAAAATCATATTTCTTCCAGCGTTTCATGTATACATCGGTTTTCTTGCTATCATTCATGGACTTTAGATTAAAAAATGTCAAGTATAATAGAATGATATTAAATGAGATCTTCAAGCATTTCATTAGTTTAGTGAGAAAAAATTTCATTTGCTCTTCTATAATCTCATATACATCTTACATAATAATCTTCATGATTCTCTGAAACTTTTTTACAACCTGATTTAATTTCTGCAACTCTATTCTAAAATTCCGGTAAATACAAAAGATTGCAAAGAGTTTGACCACTTTCAATAATACAACCTTGCTAAAGTGTATGGTAAATTTTGGTTTTATAATCCAAAGAAAGGTAATCTATTTGAGGAAATGTAGTGAACTTGGGATTCCTTTTAAGTCTTAAAAGATCTTAAAATTTAAGATCTCCTCCTCCCGTGAAACTGACTTTTATCCTAGCCACAATGAGAAGTGAATGTGAGAATACTTTATTTCTCGAACGATATTTTTTTCCCGTGAAAAACAAGAAACAGGTACCGTTTAGGATTGTCTAAAGATAACAAGATTGTACATCACTGAAACATTTAAGCACTTTCGTGAAAGAGAAGCAAATGACACAATTCCGAAACCATACGCATCAATGCCTGCACTTCTATTGACATGACGCACATCATCAATGAAAAAGTAATCATGCCTTTAGGTTTTGACTTGATTATTGAACTTGCTCGTTTAGAATCAGCTCCAATTATGAACGTAAAATGTGAACCGAAAAGACTCTCACAGTACATGCAAGCAAGTCCTGAACACCGCTGGATGGGACGAGGTCGGTTCCCTCTCGCAATCGCAGATCAATCCATGGAAGTTATAAACACAGCCCGGTCATAATGCGATTCCTAGGGTCAAAAGATGAAGAAAATTCGGCGCCACATCGACGGGCAGCAGAAGTGGGAAAAGCAGGACACCGAAATCGGGAAAACAACCGTCGAGCCCGATCACGAAGGCAAGAGACAGAGAGAGAGAAATGAAAGAAGTCCATCGGCTCGATCTCGATCTCGATCCACCCGTTGCCGTAATGTCATGCGCATACGTTACGCCAGGACAAAGGCTGAGGAGGCGGAACCCCACCCGATACGAGGAACCCTAAGGGAGCCCAGTCAGCTCGCGTCCGGCGCTAGCCTTCCATCATCGTTCTCGAGCTCAGGTGCCACCAGGTCCGAAAATGTTGTCTGTCTTCGAATGAAGGACTTTGTCCTTGTGGTCGCTCGGTGGGAGAGCGGCCGTCAGAAAGCGGAGCCTGCCGGTCGTTCGTGCGTGGGACCGGCGGGGCTCGGTCGATGCTTCCGCTTGGGCTTCGAGGAAGCTCGATCCGGACCTTCCTTTGTCCACTTTGAAGCTATTCTGGGCAAGTCATGAGTTCTCGGTCAGGAGGACATTCAAGTGAGATCGAGTTGGACTTTATTCCTTCTGGATGAGGCAGCATTCATACGTGTCCTCTTATATATTTGGCTTCCTCCCCTACTCATGGCCTTTTTTCCATTCTATTGTTTTCATATTTATTTATTTGGTGAGACGGAGTTGCTGCACCAGTGGTTGTTGCGACGACATGGTTATTTTTCCTTCTTGATGCCAGCGAATTGGGCTCGTGTTTATGTTTACCTATTATACCTTGCATGAATGAAGACGTCAACGAGCTCGTTGTTCAAATGGTAAATAGATCAAGCCCGTGGGACCCAAAGGGTCAAAAGGCTGCATATGCAAATGCATATAGTCAAATGCAAACATACATCAACCTTCGTATTGCACTTACAATTTCCTTCTTGGCTTCTAGCCGTTTCTATTCCGATTGCTTTGACTTGCTTCAACTATTTAACTTCTATGAGATAGATATGCAGCATAATTAAAACTTCTCTGATCCAGCTTTCCATACATATTATAGTTTTTATGTGATTTCATCAACTTTACTCTAAATGAAGGTCAGCGAAATCTTCTATGACCTTTTGATAACAACCACTGATTTTGCTTATTAGAGGATCGGCGTTTGAACAGCTGCGCACGTCTTTACTAATAGGATACAATTTAATAAAAAGGTAATAGCTTTGCCACAACCGATCTTCGCTGTAGACGCAGTGGAATTCACGGAACATGCGAAGTCAAATGATTGTTGACGATTCTGCAATCACTTTCTTAAACATGTGCATAGTGGACGGAGAGGAGAAACGGGAAAGCCGGAACTGAGCTTTGGACGAAATTGACCAAAAGAATAGATTTTTGTCTAACATATTTCTGACATGTTATACGATAGAAATATTCCAATGTGAAAGTCAATTATAGATCTGGTTAGGTGCATAGGATATACATTAATGAGCATAATCTTAATCTACATCGTTGTTGTGTAAACTTAATATGTTTTTGTCAGAAAACATATTTGTAGACAATAGATAAACCAACACATCACCGTCATGACATATCAAGAGATCCAATATGAAGTACAATACTAAATCTTATGAACAATTGGTTGTGGTGTTGATTATTGATTAGAGGTGAAAGATTGAAATTTTTTATGAAGATCATCAAAATACTTTAAACTTTCCAAGTAGCCAATCTAGTTAAATGTATTTTCTAATTATTTCGCAAATGAAAAAAAAAATCTTGATGTAAAAACAATCTAAATTCATAAAATTGATGTACATAGTGGAGTACTAGACAATGACAATTAACACAAGGCAACTAGAATTTATGAAAAAAAAATGAAAATATTTCATTCAAAGAATTTTTAAGCAGATTGTTAAATATCTGCAATTAAAAAATTTTATTTTATTTTTTAATTATTTTTCCAATTTTTTAGGTTTTTTCTATTATATTTGTCCATAAAAAATCACAATCTTTAAAAAAAAATTTAACTATTCTTCGTTCAAAATTACAGCTAATTTTCTTATATGTCTCTTACACATCTGTGTCCAACTGGACTTAGTTAACACTTACTAAAGTTAACAAACTAAAGAATAATTTCTGACAATTTCAAGAGTTTGACAGGTAAGAACAAGTAGCTAGTCAATCAAGTTAAAGTCTGAGTAATAAATCAAACTTGAAATATAAGAAGATAAAAAATATGATAAAAAGTTCAAAATTAGAATCAAACAATTAACAAACTTGATGAGATGATGATGAAATCTAATCCGAATATATTTATGCAGAAGAAATGAGCAAAATTGCTTTAGCTATCATAGTTTAATTTTGCATACATCGTTATGTTATTAAATCTTATTATCAATACATAGTTGAGTGATAATAATTTATTTGAAAAATTTGATACACAAAAACTATAAAGATTGATGTACAAAAAATCATTCATATCAATTTGATATACGTTTTTGTAAAAGTCCAACAATTTTTTTTATCAATCATCTAGACATTTCAACCTGTTTTGGAAAATTTGTTGTGGATGATTGCATAAATTTCAACTAGTTTGTAACAAATAAAAGAAAAGCATCCAAATATTGAAATAAAACACATATTTATAGAATTTTAGAACAAAAAAAATAATTTAACTGATCAATTTATGTTTCTTGTACTTCTTTTCTGAGAATATATTTGCTGTTATCCATGTTATCTTCATAGAAGAACTAAAAAAATGGTTTATTCATTTTCAAATGGAGTCAGTACATAATATCACAATGGATACAAGAACATAAACATCAATTCATTTCACTCTCCTCCATCCTTCACACCTCACCTCCCTGTCTTCCTCATGACTAGAAAATACTTGTTACATGTACAAATGAAACTGGAAATGTCAGATGGAACATAATGTAAATCTTGTCAGTACTAGATCTCATAATGGAGCGATTTCTCGACAGCCAGAGAAATGAACTTCCGTGTCATCATGAGGTCATGATCTCAGAGGAAGACTAACCTACATCAACAATTGTGGAAACTTTTAATCAATCAACATTCCATCTCTCCAATATTAACAGCTTGCAGACTGATCATCAGATTATCACGAGCAATTTGTTGAGTTTTATTCTCTCACCGAGAAGATACAGGACCGAGACAATAATCATGCACGCTGTAAAATTCGACGAAAAGTTGAAGGAAATTGAACTCGTGTGCTCTGAAGTCTCCGAGACGGGATGACGAGCGACACGTTGAAAACACCGTCGATCCGGAAACAGGTCAAATGAAGGAAGTGGTGGGGGCCCACGGCGTGGAGCAGAGGCACGGCCCTAAATTCCCGACGCTCTTTCTCTCTCGCTGCGAAACTTCGGTCGTACTTTCCTCACGTCGCCCGGCGGAGGACTCGACTCTGACGTGGGCCTCAATGCGGGAGTGGAGAATGAATTATTTGAGAGGAAAGTACTTCGAGCCCGTCCTTAATTACTCGATGCCTCTGCGAGACGCACACATTAGCGTCCATGGCCGCTTCAGTCCTTTCGGCGAGGGACCACGGCACGCCCGGTGGCACACGCCAGCGCCACGCGTCGCGTCGGCAGATTTTTCATTAAATGCCTTTTTCTCGGATTTCCATTGGCTGCCAAGAATCCGAGCTGTCGGTGTTCGGATCTGCCTCGGCCGCTCGAGCTCGTCTGCACTTTATCGACGAGAGCAGGGCCCGAGCTTCGAAATCCTACGGCTCGGGAATTTGTGCAGTTTCCCGGAGGCTTATGAATTCTGTCCCGATTCCCGTCGATTGAAACAACCCTCTGGCACGCTCGGTGGCACTGGGATCGGAGTCGGAGTCAGAAATTCGAGGGCTCGAAATACCGCATGCGGTGCGGAGGAGCGAGTCGCCGGTGCGGTGTCGTGGCCTGGGACTGCGGTGCTGTTGAATTTGCGTGGAATCATCGACAGTACGGCGCTGGGGTTCGGACAAACAGATCACTGTGGGCTCTGAGGACTTGGGAAGCGGGAAAGCAAAAGGTTGTTGGAGGTTGCGAGTTTTCTCGGCGTGACCGGGTTCGCTGACTGGACGAGGACATGGTGCCATCCGGGCTCGTTGCTTTGGAATTGTGCCGGAATTGTCCTTCTCTCTCGATGCTTGCGAAATGACACTCGGCTTGAGGCCGGTGCACGAGGAGTTGGTTATGCTCATCTACAGAAGCTAACGGCCCACGTGCAAAGAATTCTGCTCGTTGCATTCGGTTTTCAAATTCAAATGTCTAATCTTCTCACAACCCGTATTCGACCCTGATCATAAATTTTACTTCAGAACTGTTTTCACCTACTCATCAAATATGAATCAATTTGCTCGTCCCTTCCTCCAACTCGATGCTTGGCCTTCCCATCAGCCGAATCCTGTTTCTCATTCTCACACCGTTTGGCGATGCATACTTGGAGCTCGTCTAGGGACTTCAGCTAAACCCTCGTCTCAGTTCAGGAACAGCTTGAAGAGCAGGTCTCGTGGCGCTTTCGAGCCTGCAAACTCCACACGATTATAGTGCAGTAGTATTAACTCAGTTTTATTTTCCAACTGCGCAGACGGGATAGCAAAGTTACCACCGCACTTGATTCTCCTGTGCTTCTTGTCACAGAACGACGGCATCGACGACAGCCTCCAATTGCATGAGACGGCCATGTCGACTTACAACCTGCGTGTTTGTTCGTTCAAATTGTGGATTGCCGCATCATCAGCCTCTGTCTCATCCTCGTTGGATCCACAGTTGAGCTCCTCGTCGAGGAACTTGTAAATTATGTATTGTTGGTAATTATGTTCTACGCCAGTGGTCGCAAGTTATATCCACGGCTCTTTAAGGGAATAGATATCTGTATAAGAGTTTTTTCACGTATTATAGAGGAATCGAACGGGCACCCCCTTCCACTTCCAACAACGAAAAAACTTATACTAACAGATCGTGGCCATAGGTCCTGACCTCTTCCATCACCGTGGAGCAGGCCAAATTACTCTACCAGGAATGAGAGCAAAAAGAACAGACCGCTTTCAAAAGGTTTGGTACATTCTGTTGAGTAAGCAACATTTCGCTTTCTTATATATGAGTACTCACTGCATTATATGTACTTAACCACGGCTTCATTAACTGGTCCTGACAGATCCTCTCCCGCTGTGCCTCTGTTTAATGTGACCAGTCGTAGCCAGCAGACGAGACTTATCTCGATGCTTCTAATCAGATGTGTAACTGATTGGTAAACGTCATGACAAGGGAGCAACTGATAACCACTGAGAATGTCCACAAATATATGTCGTGAGATTTAGCATGGAGTTACTCCCAGTGGCCACCCACTCTGATTGATGCTCATCACTTGTCCCCAGACAGCAGAAAACAAAACAAAACGGGAATCAATGAAAGTAAGCAAGTGGACAGATCAGTAAAGCAAGTGAACAAACATGCCAATCAGGGGAACATGATTTGGCGGCCGAGGCAAATATGTGAAACTGGTCAAAATTGTAGTTTTGAACTCGCTTTAAACTCAAAACTCCATGATGCTAATACAAACTCTGTATTTACTGAGAAATGGGACAATGTTGGGATGTTAAGCTTTGCCGTCAATAAAGGCATCTATGTTCTGTAGCAACTCAAAGGAACCGGTTCCCGATTCAACCACCCGGCCCATAACGATACGGGCGGATGGAGATGAAAGGTTATCTCTTTGCCTTTTCAGCGTGGCATCCATGAGAAAGGTAGTTGCAGTCTCATAGCTCATCTTCAAAAATGGAGAAGGGCTGGAATATATGCCCAGCCGATTGCATGGCCTGTACCCGCCTTGGCAGGTCATAAAATCTGATATCAAACTCAAGTGACGAGGGTTCACGCCTATACCATAAGAACCGAACACTGACAGCACCTCCGACATAATGGTCTGGCGTGCAGCTTCCACACCATAAACACGAAGAATTGTGGCGATGTTGTTCGTGGTGAGGTTATTGACATCGAGGTCGTCATGTAGAGCCCAGAACCCTTCTAAGTTCACTCCGTCCGTCTGGAGGGCATAGAGAGGCGGCCCGTCCGGATTTTTCTTGTCTTTGGTTTCAATTACCGAGCACTTGTCGATCCCTTTAACATACCGTACCGAGACCTGTTTGGCGACTTTCTCCACCAGCTGTAAGACAAACCAATCCCATCTCGATCAGTGAAGGTCAGTTACTTTCAGACGGCTAGCTTTATAAATTGAGAGCACACGACGCAATTTTAGGTTGATGTGAGCACAAGACAGCACCACGATGATCTACATTGTTAACCTTTGGCAAACATCTGCGCATTTATTCAAGTTACAAACACAAAATGATCTGAAACATTTAGGACTTGCCTCGGGCATTAAAACCAGGTTCGTTTGTTGCGAAGAAGTAAACTGCATCTCGAATGTGGAACCATCCATTTGCAACATGTTGTCGTTTGCTCTCTTGGGCGTTTTCAACTTCTTCAACTTCATGGGTGTGATGCCTTCTTCAGTGTTGGCCTGTTGATCTCCCGACCCGTTGTTGTCGTTGGCTTTGCCACCACCAGCACCATCTTCTTCCTCTTCAACCTCTTCCTCCCTGGTTAGTTCATCTTCCTGGAGCAGATCCTTGGCTATGGCCTTCTCATCATCGTCTTCTTCGTCAGCATACCCTCGTTCATCTGTACCCTGCGATTTTCTCTTTTCTGCATCAGCACCCTCCTCATCGCCCTCGTCCTCCTCCTCATCTTCCGCCTGCTCTCCTTCATCCACCTCCTTACCTTTCTTGCTTGCCTTCGAGACGCCATCGTCATCAACCCCAGCACCGCTCTCACCTGCTCCTTCTCCAAGGTCTCGCAAGGGCACGAACCCGATGGCATCCTGCTTGGAATGGCCACGAGTTGCTGCTTTCACTTCTTTCTCCAATCTAGGTATAAAACTGTCACGTAATATTGTCTCACACTCCTTGAGAGTCAAATTCATGCCAGGAGGAAATCTTTTTGGTGAGTACAGCTTGATCCTGATCTTGTACACTCTTTTAGGTATTCCTTGCTGAACCGAGAAGGGGATTTCCCCGACATCCACCGTCTCAATAAGATCCACAAGACGTAATCTCCTCATTGTCATGGCAAGCCGTTCACCATCCTCTCTGCAGAGTTGAACGATAAGTCAAAACACACATATGCACATATTACACAACTTCTCCATTTCCTTCGGTTTCATGCAAATACTGCACAACGGATAAATTCTATGTAAATCACTTATCAAAGCGTAATATGACTGTCGACTATGAGATCTGTAACACCATACGGGACTGAGCTATAATAAGACATGAACAAATACAGTGATACAGACTGCATAATGAAAAACGTACTTCGTCAAGTGACTTCTCAATGGACATGTCATAATCGGTGTGGAGATGTTTTCTGAAGCAGTCATCAATATTTCACGAAGACGGGGAATACCCAGTGTGACATTCATTTCTCCCCTTCCTGCAAAATGAAAGGTGTTGAGCCTGCAAAGAGATTGGCATTATTAGTACTTGAAAGGAAGACTTCTGTGCTAAAACGATCACTCTCTAATTCAGGAGACAGCCGAGAAAATTAGGCCTGGAATAGGTCAAGTGCGAACTCACGTCATCTGTGTGGAAGGCTCTCCGACCGACTGGGCAGCCAGAACACCCACAGGCTCCCCGGGAGGAGCAAGACTCGTGATAAATTTCAGCTGCATCATAAATTTAAAATCGTCTTTTTGCCTGGACTTCCTCAAGTTCAAACGTTTTAGTTCCTTCTTAGGCAGTCCTTTCAGAAAATCTTCCACTTTCTGATTAAAGGCAGGCGAGACACCACCAAGAGCCATGTCCTCTTCCACCTCAGTTTCTTTGCTTTGGCTGCTGGTATCCTTCTGCTTCGATCGTTCCGTTTGCATCTCGTCCTTGCCGAGCCTCCTTGATACCAGCGATTGATTCTGAGACAAGTACAACAAACAAGTCAGACTAGGTCGAATCTCAAACCGAGGATGTCCCTTAAGTACGTATAATTTTAGGACAACACAAGGACAGCTCAAATTCTTCTGTAATATAATCTATGGGACATACTAGCCCAATATATCCATCGTTGTAGCCAGATTCCTCGATCAATCTAGAACACGAAGCAAAGACAAAAGAGTAGCAAGGCGTGAATGTGAAGTCAAGACTTTACATCGGCGAGCAGTTCAAACTTCGTCAAGTAGCTTGTTTTAAGAACATCAATTCCGTCCTCTCCATACTTAAACTGTACAATGGAGCCATCCGAGTCCCGAACAGTGTAATCATAATGAATTTTTAAGCCTTCCAAGTTCTTCACAAGACACCTTTGAAGATAGCCACTTCTAGAAGTCTTGACAGCAGTATCGACAAGTCTGCATTACAGATATGTCATAGTGGCTCAGATTACTGGATTGATATGAACACTTTGCAACTAATACACGTTTTGCCTTTCTAACAAGCATATTTCTTTCGATGCGAACTCAGAAGACCACCAGACCTAACGGCAATTTATCTATCGAAGTGAGAGGAGAGGCCGCAAAAATAGAACAGTTGGACCATATATGAACATTGTTCAAAAATAAGCTTCAGGTTAGTTCACTTATTTTTCATAACGTACCCATCACGCCCGGCCATGCAATGGAAGTAATATTCTTGTGGTCGGAGACCAGAAAGAAATCGATCACCGATGAAACCTCCAGCGCGGGCACCAGTATCCCATGGAGAAAAGCAAGGAAGGGTCTTTCCAGATACCATCCTAGGGACTCGCTTCCCCTCCAATTCTTGCTGTCCCAGTAATGAAGATATCTGGGTGAAATTGACCTAAAAAAACAAAACAAACGTCATGACATTGAATTTTTTCCGTAGCATACCAGCACTCGTCACAAAAGCACAGACTGAATCTTTCGAGTTGGTCAACTACGTAAAATTTTTACCAAAAGGCGCCAGCCACGAACTATTGACAAACAAATGACGAAGCATTAAAACAGCAAGCTAAGCGTGAACAAAGATTTGTGGATAACTGCACTAGAGGGAGCTCAGCATACAGAAGGAGATGAAAAGAGATAAATGTAAATAGGAAGCAGAGGAACTTTACCAGTCCTCCCTTGGCACCAGTAACAGTCATCATTGTAAACCAATTTCCAGGAAAAGCTTTCATGAGACCTTTGGGAAACATTGCGTTGTTCACTTCGGACGTGACACCGTTCAAAGCTCCGGACATCATCCTATCAAGTCGATTGCTAGCCGGCTCTCCTTTCGCCCTCAGAATCTTCTCAACTTGATCTTTGACTCTCTCAACATCAATATCTAGAGGGAATAACAGACTAAGGAGTTAATAGGAGAGGTCAAACGGTGAGATCCTTCTCTAAATGATTTGCAAAGCAACCCACCAGTTAGGACAGCAAGAAAATTGAGACATTGTAAAAAGATAGCGCAACCTGCTTGTGTTTCCGGATCTCCTATGAATTTAGCATGCACACTATCCCCGAGTTTGTCAGCCTTCCGCAACTTGTGACGCCTCTCCTTCTCAGCCTTGGGAACTAGTAGCAAGTCACCTATCCCACAGGTGAACCCATGCATCTGCAATAATAGGAAGCCATACGTAAATATTTGAGACATTGTCGACACTAGCTAACGTCGCAATATATGACCTCTTCATCGCCACTTCATTATTTAGGGCCATGCTTAATTTCAGGCTTAAATTTTAACATTCTCTTTAAATGCAACGATCACAATATTGAACATACCAACAGGCGACAGAAGCAGACACAGTAGTACATGATAAAGAGTGAGTATCATGAGCGATTGCCAAAGAACGAGAGGCGCAAGCTAAGATATCAGGCCAGAATGGAACAAATTTGACAACATAGAGCGGTCCTGGCTTAGACCGTACTTCAACCACCCACCTCATCGTCTCTCAATGCTCGGTATGACCAGATGCTAAGAGAATATTTCTAAAGAAGCACGTCATAAAACTCTTCGGAAAGATGAAGCATTGCTACTCACTTGTAGCAACCATCACGCCAAAAAAGTTGCTTAGTTGACAAAAGTGTGGCAGACAGTAACACAGATTTCAATGAATGAGTCTAAAGACACAAGAAGACCTTAAGATCAGCTGAAACGGGAATCTACCTGTAAGTAATTCGTGAACAGACGACTGAACACCGATAACAATTTTCCAGCACCGGCGCATCCATATAGTTCTTGGAAGGCATGCACGATTCCGTACTTCCCAAACTGAGCTTTGTCTATTACTCCACAAATCAACTCGTTGTCTTGAAGGAGGACAATATTTTCACCACTATTGAGTCCCCAATATTCCTTCGGCGTCTTAATACCAGCTGACATTGAAAAAGGTGGACTCCCATGGGTAATATAATTGAAAACAGTTGTCATGACCTGCCAGGAAAAAGCTGATGTCAGAAGTCTGCATCTATGTCCACCATTTTACAAATCTTGACTAAAACCAAAAATACATTCTAACAGGCAAGGTTCTCCCGGTATCGAGCTGACACCTGCTTCCCAGTCCAGAGTTGTTTGGGTTTCTGAATGGCTGGGGGAAGAGTTTTAATCGGACGATCTCGTTCGATCATTCCAAGGGCAGACTTCTTCTTAGCTAATGTTGGAGAAGTAGAAGACACAACTGCGGCGTAAACAATCTGCATGTATTCCTCCCTTGTAAGAAAAGTATCCCGCTTGGTAAGCAATACGGCCCCAACGACATGATCCTGCGAGGTAAACCAAGATACAAACACATCCGCATCAGTACTTATAGAATGCGTTCCACATATTGAGAAGTACCAAGCACAGACTCAAACGCACCGGTGTCTGTGAGGTACACTACCGGAATTGGTTAAGAAGACGCGCAAAGCCTGCAAGATAAAAGTCACTGAGTAAAGAATAAAGAGCATGTCTTCAGGACAAGAAACCTGAATAAGACCTCGGATTGGATCGCCACTGGTAGGAACCACGAATTGCTCATCAGCATTAACAATATTGTAACCTTCCGATCTTCCGAGCTCGTCTTGTGGGAAGTGGACATTCATTTCATCTCCGTCAAAATCTGCATTGTACGTGCTGCAGCAAGTGAAAGCCGAGAGTTAAAACCTTCCAAACAGTATCATGAAAGTTAGCGATGCAAGCAAACTCACTTCGAGAACAAACAATGAGCTTCAAAAGCTAAGCTGCTACTTTATAATATTTACAAAACTAAAAAGCGTCTACAATCTGGAGATTCAAAATTACCTGCAGTTTGCATAGTGCATGCGAAGAGTTTTCTCCCCCTTTAGAACCCGAGCTTTGTGTGCCATAACACCAGGCTTATGAAGAGTGGGCTGCAGCAAGTTTAATCCCCAGTAGGATATATTCAGCTAACGGGTGTATGACTCTATGATAAGCAGGGGGAGAAAAGGAGCACCTCATGATAAGCTCTAAACAAGAGCTTCCTCTGTAAGTTGGAATGCGAGGTCTAGCTACGGCAATACTGCAACATGACCAGTAAAGTGGCCAGGCGAATTTCACGAGACTACGTCGAATGAAAAAAACATCGATGGTTTCTTTCAACCATAATATCCCTCAGTGGAGACACATTTAATTCCAACGGACAGACTGGATGAATTTTGAACAGCTCCCGCGAATATACCTTCCCACGAACAAAGCAAAAATGTACACTCACCTGACGATTCACCAATAAAATGTCACCAGATCGCAAATGACGGTAAACCGTCTTCCCCCCGGATCGCGGGACATCTGAACTGGCATCTGCACCCCGTGAAACATTAGCACCAGACAGCCCAGAGGCGGACAGCAGCGTTTTGGCAATTGCCGCTCGCTTGTAACTGGGAAGAGAAGCCAGATTCGTCAATTTCCCGTCTTCGTCCTCAACGTGAGTAGCACCAGGATGAGTTGACGGACCATTCTCCACTGCATCCCTCAGTTGCTGAACGTTCCAAGGTGTTACCCTCTGAAATGAACGACTTGACAGTGTAAGATTATCTTTTTACTGATGTCTTTTGCCAAACTGCACCACATGTGCACCGATAACACCCATCGTACTAGCTACGCACACAAGCTTGCCCTGAGGAGGATTACTCGATCATGAAACAAACTAGGTGCACCCTACCTAAAAGGCACTTTATAACGAAATACAAAACCACTAAAACGAAAATCTCATCGACCAGAACGAAAGAAACGGAGTAGGAACTGAACAAAAACACGGGAAACTGAACGAAACGAAAATATGGAGGCAACGTTCAAATCCGTTTCATCCAGGTAGGCAACGTAGACGGTCGGAGAGAGCTCACAAGATAAAACCACCAACAATACGACGGTTGCTAAGAACAGACCTCCACCACAATGATATGTTGCATTTATTTGCTTCGAGGACGGAATGTCTAAGCTCCTAAACTGCATAAAAGACGATATACCTCAGGATATGTCAAACGTGTAGCAAAGTAAGGAGGAATCCCAATCTCATTGACGGCGATGTAGGGATCGGGAGAGATAACTGAACGGCACGCAAAATTTACACGCTTTCCCATCATATTCATGCGAAAGAGACCCTCCTTTTTCTCAAGAAGTTGCCGAACACCATTTCCTCCAGCATCAGCCTTAGATCCGATAGCTTCAAACAAGAAAAAGGGACAAAGCCAATCAGGTAAGAAAAACCTCGAGACGTACGTCGTTATGGACGCACAAAAAAGGAAGCTTTGTGTCTCCAAACTTACCAGTAGTACTATCAAGAAGAGCATTGACGGCATTTTGAAGGTTCAACCAAAGCGCTGTCGCTTTAGAAAAGTTCAAATCGCCCTTTGCTCCTCGTGAAGACTCAGTCAAAGAGATGTTGGCTTGAATTACTCTGCTGTAAAATATGTTTTGAGGATGTTCCAATATCTGCGATACACATGTATAAGTCATGAACAATTCTCCACCTTCATAAGGTTTCTACAAAATGGGGCCCAAAACACCACTGAAGTTGAAGTCAGCCTCACTCGAAGTTAACACTATTAATAACGAGGCTTACTTGATCATCCATTCTGTTGGGTGGACGGAACCTGTTGGGAGTAACCAAAATTGTCTGCAAGAAAAACATGTCTGATCCGCAAACATCCTTCTTGGATTTTGTCAATAAACCATATGCCTCTTGGGCGCCCCAGATAAGTGAACAAATCCGCTCCTCGTTCTCCCATGTAAGCCGGAGGTGCTCTTTGACCTGTTGCATGGTTGAAGGCACGATCCTTATCATCTCATTCTATACAGCTGAAATTAGCCAAAAGTGAATCCAGTAGTATCTACAAATCTCCAATCCAAAGCAGGGCTGCAAAAAGGTAAGAACTTCGCCATCTAAGTTGAAAGAAGTCAAAGGAGCAAAACTCACTTTCAAACGAAGAAGTCTTGAACCTCCTTTGATCCTACACGTAGCACAGGACTAAACTCTACATAACATTTGATGTGTCTATGGTTCAAGTTTAGTGCTTGGTTGCACGAACAGGTCACATCAAGTGCAACAGCCATCGCTTAAACTTCAACGTTTAAGCAGTCATACTCACCTCCGAGGGTGTAAGAAACTTTGTCTGGTTCCGGACATCAGCCTGGTCGGTTTCACGCATCTTTCGATCTATCTTCTTTTCGTCAATCTCTTCGATGGCGTTCTCGCTGATATCATTCTCTTCCATCTCAACATCCTCGTCTTTAGCTCTTTCTGTATCATCATTGCCAGAAGCAATGTTTATGACAGACTTAAGACCTCTCATTATGTTGGAAGCCAGTGAACCCTTTGGAAGAGGTAACTGCAAAAACAAGTATTCGAGGCAATCAGATACCATTCAACTAATAATAGTAGCTTTCATAGTTAAAACAAACAGATTCAATGACGCCGAGGAAAAGGTATATTGCAGAAAGTACCTGGAATAACTTCCCAACGCCTTCGTTTCTGATCGCAGGAACGTGTGCCAAACAATTCTCGCATTTCCTGGGGGGCATTGACGACATAAATTGACTAATGACTTCTTTCGTGGCATCAATTTGGCTGGCAGTGAAATGCCGCTTACCCGCTGCAACATCCTCGTCTCCAGTTTCTCCACGGTAGCTGCTCCCATCTTCACCCATTTCCTCATCAAGTCCAGTTGAAAAACTTCCTCCTTGAATAATCTCTTCCATATTATCACCTTCATTCTCCACCTTTTTGACTACAACATTCATGGCTTCAACCATTCGCCCTTGCGAAATGAGTTCCAACTTGTCCGAAAAAAGCGTCACCTGGACAGGAAGTACTCCATGAGTCGAGTTCAGAGCATGGATCTTTACAAGAGCTCTGGCAACGAGATTCGGATATCTGTCTATTGACAACAGAATTTCAAAATTTTACTTTGGAAATCGTCTATTGAAAGAGATCCGAAATTACCCTGTTCTTGTGCATCTTGAAGTTGTGACAGTAGATGCAGACTGAGCGGTAAATTTTCAGCACATTTTTGTACACCAAAGGATTGTACACAGGGAGCATGAGATTGATATGCCCACAGTGACCTGGGCAATTGATTGGCTGCTGTCCACATGTGATGCAACTGAAACAAACAGAAGCGTGGACTACATTTCGGTCAGCAGTGTATACAGAACTGGTGCCTTCCAAGTTTTTTCATAAAATGATGGAAACTTTCGATAGTATATTTTTCAACTGAGGGATGTGTAGCAAATTCAACGCAAAAGTTGCTGCTTCAAACAAAGCAAGACGTATCACCTGGAAAACTTGTCCAACGGACCCAAAGCCCCGTCATACAGGCCCCCAGGTACTGCATTTCGCAAATTGTCGAACAAAACCGGACTCGTAATGTGTTTGACGCTGATGGCGTGGATTTCCTCATCGTTGTAAAAGGAAAATTCCACGGCATCGATCGCCTTACAAACAACCTGTTAAATTTTGCCATGTAGAGACGGCATTGTTTCAGAATCAAAATATGCTCCCAGAATTATCCAAAAAGCGAAATTCAAAATTCAGACTGTATTTTGCAGTTGAATTTCTCATCGAATTAGCTCCTATATTGAAGCCATACTCCAAAATTAAACAGAGCTTCAATCGGCTTCGGCTACTCCTCACCTCCCTCATGGTGACCTCCTTGCAATTAAACCCTGGCCGTCAACTTCATAAGTAACCGGGAAAAGTACGATTTCCGCTGCTTCCCAACCTGTCTTCCATTCAAAACTCTACGCACAAATCATCAGATCACTCCAGCTCTCCAGTATGATTGTGATCCTTTCAAAATTCACTTATCCTCCAGCAGATCTTCGAACTGCGTACGATTCTATGGTCTTCGCTGTTTTCCGCGACCTCCAAACTAACTGCCTATCTAATTGTACTGGCCGAAAAATCTTTCAATCGTACACGTAATCGTCTGTGGAGGCCCTTTCCTCGACCTGAATCGAAGTGTGTTGCTTTTCTTCCTCGTGTTCCATGCACGAGGAAATTACTGTCAATTTACTGTCTAAACCCTAAACCCTGGCAAGCTGGGCTGCGCTGCCATGCTCCGTCAACTGCCGAAGGCGTTCCTGTTCTTACGGACTGTGTTATTGCCGCATGTATCCGTGGTCATGGGAGTCGACGCGGTTGACAGGTAAGCGCAGTACACCGTCTCAAGTGATTAATGGCCAAAGCATGGCCATTTCACTAATTCGCGAAACTACACAAGTTCTGTTTATGTGTAGAACTCGACGTATGTGCCAAAAGAATCCGCTTTGATAAGTTTTATGAAGCGGATTGGAGACAAATTACTCTACTGATTATGAATCACTCATTCATATAACATGTCTGAAAATGCAATATCATCAATTGTCCACTGTCTTGTACATTCGGTTTGTATCTTCTTCAAAGAAGTTGGCAAGTGTACGCAAAAGCAATATATTTGTATTTAAGGAAATATTTAAAGATAAGACGTCTATATATATAAAAAAAATTCAAATTAAAAACTAATTTGGATTTTAATAATTACTTTGATTGCAATCTACTCACGTAACTAAATATTTTGAATCTGTGAGAATGAAATTAAAAATTATTCCTATTACTTTCCAAAATTTCTATGTCTAACTTTTACAAATTAATCATACAAAATATTTTATACTATTTAAAGAAAATATATCTTAAATAACTACAAGTGATTTTTTATTGTTAAAATTTCAAAACACATCATATAAAAATATTAAGTTTTTTATAAAAAAAAATTATTAACAAATGTATTCCTCAACCAAAAAAATTAGAAATATAAAAGTTATATTATAAATATAAGTAAATTTTTTGATTGAAAAGATGACTACATTTCACCATTTAGACATGATCATTTTATACATACACATCATTTACATCAAAATTTAAAAATCTAGTTCACTTTTATTTTATTTTCTCGGTATACATGTTTTCATTGCAAAAGAAAATTTATAAAAAAACCAAACTTTGTTTTTATGCAAACAAATGCATTACAACATGAGACATTTATAATTCATTGAATATAACAATAAACATACAATTCCCTTGCTAGTTGTTACTTAAAACTTCAGATCTATTCAATAATAAGAATTAAAAATGTAGAATTCATATTGTTAGTAACTGAATGCACATTAAAATTTAAAGTGATGTTAAATATTTCTGTCAATGAGTTATGAAATGAAAAAGGTTCTTAGTTTTCGTTTATATTATATACTTCTATATAGTTGACTCCCATAAGCTTCATTTTGCATAGTTATATTTCAGAAATTATAAAATTTGAAAATACATTTTGAACATTTTTTTATATGAATATAATATTAAATATAAAAAGGTAATGAAATTTATTAATATTTTGATGTTTATGTGTTGTATAAAATCATTCTTTTTTGGCACAATTTTCCTTGAATTAAAATAAATATAAAAAGTATTTTTTTTGAATAAAATTTTTTTATATATGTTATGATTACTATTATCTCTATGTAATCTAAAAAAATAATAAAAATTTTTGAATTAAATTTTCTTTAAATAATGATATACTTAATTTCACATGAATTTAATAATTTCTTTCCAATCAATATTAACTTCAATTTTTTTACTTTAATATTACATTGTCGCAAAAATCTCAATTTTATAAACAATACTCAAGTTAAAAACCTGTTAAAGTCTCATATATTTGATTTATAAAACCTTTATGACAAACTTGCAAATCGTATTGATTTCAATGGAAGATACTGATTATCATGACACAAAAACTTATTAGTATTGATCAAAATGATTATATAGTTGATATTTATGATAACAAATGAAAATATTTGATGAAATTCTTTTGAATTTCATTAGCTTCGTTAATTCAGGTAATGCAATTTATAATTAAATTTTAATTCAAATATTAATATATGTGACAAATTCACCCAAATGCTTGATGTTTCAAATAATTTATTACATTTATTTCACACACATTTTGTGCTTGCTATAACGTGTACACAAAATAAATGCGTATATTGTGAATACTTTTTTAATTATATTTTTATATGTTGACGCATGCAAATTATAGGTAAAATATAATTTTAGATATATAAATCTTATTTCATATATTTTGCATGTTAATGATACTAGACAATTAAATATGAAATGAGAATGATGACTAATTCTTGTAAATTTTTGATAATTTACATATAATTACAAGTTTATCAAAATGTTGTGCTTTATTTTTATACTTCATACTGGTCAATATTAATCTGAGCAATCTGCCAAAAATAATTTGCACAAAATTTAAAGACATGAAGACGATCATATGAAAAATTTTCGCACTCATGCAAGGCGTGAGGAGAAAATTAGAGTAGGAATGCATGCTCTCCATATAACATGTGAGTGCATGCGCTTGAATTTGAGCACATATTTTCAATTTACTAGAAACTTAGAACATATTTTCATTTTCAAATTTTGTAACGCGAACCCTCGTTGTGTTCTAAATTTATACTAAATTGACAATAAGTGCTCCAATTTGTTATTGCTCAAGATATGAGTTGTACATCAAGTTGCGCAAGAAAGAGAAGACATCAAAACATACATCTTGCTTAAATTTTATTATTTTTGGTCATTTTCATCTTTTCATATAATCTTTGTAAGATGTTTGTTGCGATCAGAGTGAAAATTTTCTTGATCAAAACAAAAGTATCAAATGATAGCATAAATGATAGCATTTGCAAACCGTCATGAGTTGAATGAGCATGCAATTGAATTTGATCTTTAACCGGCGCAGCAAATATATGAACGATTACAACACGACTATTGAATGTATATTTTGTGTTCACATCTATTGCAAAAAAGAAGAAGAATGTTAATGTGAAGTTTCATATTCGGGTCTGGCACTCGCACTTTCATTCACTTCGCACCAGGCTTAAGTAATTAAACTCAACTCTCACATCCTAGATCACCACCACTAGCTTGATCGATCCGCATTTGACATATGGGCTACTCCTTCGATCGCTATTTTTTTACATTTCTCTATGATTTTTATATCACGATCGTGAGTGTCTACTCACGATCGTGATATGAAAATGATAGATTACTTTGTCTAAGTTCACTTTCTGACAATAAAGAAGCATTAATCGCTATAAAGTTTGTTTGAAAATTCTGATTGTTCTCATCGCAATGAATGTCAATGTGAAGTTTTAACGTACCAAATACACACAGTTATTTTTAGTTTTTGTTCCGTCTCGAAGCTTACAAAAATCACAAAAAGTTTCAACAATCTGAGTATTGAATTAAATATTGATTGTTTTCACACCAAGAGAAGTTTTGATTCTTCAAGAAAAAATATGTATTCAACTTTCATCATTATCTAAACAGTGACAAGTACATGGTTCAATATATTATTGCTTGACTAGCAATCATCAACATCATTGTGTAAGATTTACATTTTGTTGTCGGTTGATTCACATTGCCAACAAGCAACATGTTTGAATGTTGTCCACACAATGATGGATTGTCAAAGATAATATATTGTCATTTTTTGAGCAAATGCTGTCACCACATACATAATTTGATCTTCAAAACTTATCATCTTTCAACAACATGAAGACTTGTCAAAGTTGATGACATATATTGCGAATAGTTTGAAAATTTGTTTCATTGCGTATGTTTCACTAGAAAAAATTGATTTCATCATTGTAATTCATTAAGATAATTTATATTTCACAATAGATAAAATTGTCATATATATATCATACCTTGCATAATGCGAACTTGAATTCTATACAACAAGTTATCAAAAAATCAATAATAATAATCATTGAAAAATATCAACAATGTTTCACTTTCCATTCAGTTGAACGAATTGCATATTAAGGCAAAACATGATTTTAACAATAATGTCAAGGAATTGGAAGTGATTTTTTAATACTAGTGGATTTATTCAAAATGCATATTGCACTTTTTGTCGCAAATCCGTACTTTACACGTCTGGATAAGCAGAAAAAACACGAATATGATCAACAAGACAAAGAGCTAACATTATGATTTGCTTGTTGTTTATGTGCGTGAGCCGGATGTGAAGTATATGTTCAACAAACACAATAAAAAATAGTATTTTTCAACGAGACATGAGATTGTTTGAATGGACGCTCCAAATATTTGAATCATAGATGCGATGGTTTGATATCATTGTGTCCAAAAACAATGTTGGTTGAAAGCTATTTCATTATCATCAAATAAGAAAAAACATTCTCGCACTAGCTTGACAAATATATTCTTAGCACATATTATGGATGCGAAGCAATTTAAAATACTGAAAATTATTATCGTAAAATCATCTGACAAAAAATAGTGAATTTAATGTCAAAAATACAAAAATAAAGGAAAAAGAATTGCCAAATTACCTTGATTTTGACAAACCTGACATTTGCGAGACTTTCGTTAGTTTTATGCTATTAGATTATAATGTTAGTTTTTAGACTAGAATACAATATGAATTTTACGAGAACAAATTTTAAAATTTTTGATTGCATTTGAATTGAAAATCATTAAATTAACTTGATTTTTTGAATTTGCAATGTAAAATATAAATACTATATATTTGATTGAAAAGTTGAAAAGCTTATTCATGAAAAGAATTGCTTACCAAAAAATAATCATAAGAATATTTTTAATAATTGAATGAACACACATATTTTATACATATTGTTTTAAATTATTTTAATTTCATGTTCATTTTTATGAATAATTAATATAAAATATTTGTGGATCTAATAATCATATATTTTAAAGAATATTTTAAAATTTCATGTTTTTTTGATGATACTTTTTTCATGTATAAATTATATAAGCTGTTTCACATATCAGAGTTATCAACCATTGCTAATAAATACATATATATTTATTTATCTATAAATTTATATTTTTTATGGTAGTAATTCTGAACATGAATAAAAAACAAAAGTTTGAAATATATCATATGATGTATGTCATGTTCTATTGTTTCATCATTTGCATTCATGTTTAACAATTTTTTGTTTTTAATTAAAGAAGACTTGAAGTTATTATAAAAAAAAGTAATTGATGATAAAGAATGGATTGAGGCGAGACCGCTTTCATCTCGCAAGCTACTCTGCTTGCATAAGATTTAGATGATGTAATGATTATTACCACCAAAGACAATGTGAGGAAGGGATAGAAATATAGAAAGAATGGCCACAAGGGTTTGATTTCCAGGAGAATTATATTCTGATTTGCCAAGAAAAAGTTACATTGCAATGAATACTCTTAAACTTTCTATGAATTTGCGTTGTAGAGAGAATCTTAGTATTTGGTTGGTCGAATTTGGAGACACTTGTTCCAAATTTGGTATTTCCCAGTTGGTGAAATTAGGGGTACGGTATCAGGAGAAATTGATAACTTCACCAACATGGGAAATCACAACAAAGCCCAAGAAACCGGTTCTTCTCATTCTGAGATAATGCTGTCGAGTGGCAGAGCGACACAATCCCGAATCCGTGCTAGTGGGCGGAAAGTCTGACCGGTGAAAGGTAGAAGACGCATTTATGCATTTGCAGCCTCTCGTTGTCCGGGGCAGAGAAAGCGATCATCGCGTCATGTGAGCCGTGTGCTCTCACGGGGACGGCCCAGGGTCAGATGAAGCGATAACTCTCTCCGTCTGCGTCCTGTACGATGAGAGGCTGCAGAGGAAGAAATTTATTTCCAACCTACCACATGCCGCGGGTGCCGAGAATGTCTGATGGAAAGAAACCCCGGACGATGTGATGCACCACCACCCCAAAATTATGGAGCCCGCTAATCGGGAGCACCCAAAAATGGGAAAATCGCCAAAATACCTCGCGTCTCCACTCCAGCCTGGACGCACGGCCCGGTCCGGGCGATTGGAGCGCCGGCAGTGACCGACGGGTAATCGAGTCGAGGAGCACGCTCTTGGGGGTCGCGAGGGTGGAACGGTGGAAAAGATGGCGCCACGTCAAGAGCGGGCCGGGGAGTCGAGGCTGAGCGGGGTGGGAGCCGAGGCGGGACGTGGAGGGGCAGGTTCGGGCCGAGCGAGTGCCGAGGCACGGGGTCCGGCTCCCTATCGCCAGACGTCGGAGTGGACCTGCACCACACGTTCCGATTCCTGAGGCCCTTGGCGAGAGGCGCTGAGGTGGGTGGCGAGCGAGTGGCCTCGGCGCTGGCGAGCTATCGCGAGCTCGTCCGTTCCCTTCGATACTTGACGTGGTGAAATTGGGCATTTGGATCCAGTCTTGCAGGACATTGCGTTTCGGTGTTGAATCGTCTCCTCTCTTGCTCTTTCTCTCGTTCCGCATTCTCTCCTCCGCTTTCGCCGAGTGGTCTCTGCCGTCGCGGAGAGGCGCAAGAGGTTCGAGGAAGGAAGCAAGACGATGGCGATGATGGCAGTGTCATCCGGCATGGCTCTCAAGTCCAGCGTCTGCGTTGGCAAGAGCGACTTCATGGGCAAGACTGCCTTGAGGCAATCCGCCGCCCCTTCGTCGTCGAAGACCAATGTGTCTTTCACCATCAAGGCCGCTGGATACGATGACGAGCTCGTCAAGACCGCTGTAAGTGTTGCTTGTGGGGCATGTCCTGTGATGGAGGTGTCGGATGGAAGTAGAAATCGGAAGAAACAGTCGTCGCATCGAGTGGTGGATTAAGAGGAAATGGAACATTGTAGACAGCACAGTGGCCGATGTACCTTCTGAGAGCGCCGGTCTGGCCTTAGTCGCAGTGTAGCCGGGTGGAAGCGCAGGTGCTAGACATGTCAAACAATGGTGTGAACTGGTGTAGTTCTCTGCGTATGTCGTTGTTTTTGTTCCGAAGTGGGCTGGCATTCTTTTTCTCGTGATGGCCTCTTATGTACCGGGCAATGGATTTGATTCGTGCAGAAATCTATCGCTTCTCCCGGACGTGGTATCCTCGCCATGGACGAGTCGAACGCCACTTGCGGCCTTCGATTGGCGTCCATCGGCCTCGAGAACACTGAGGCCAACCGACAGGCGTACCGCCAATTGTTGGTTCAGACCCCCGGACTCGGCGAGTACATCTCCGGAGCCATTCTTTTCGAAGAGACCCTGTACCAATCCACCACCGACGGAAAGAAGATGGTCGATGTCCTCGTAGACCAGAAAATCGTTCCCGGTATCAAGGTCGACAAGGTGAGCATTGACGTGCCGGTTTTCCCTTCGCATGATGTGCTCGAGGTGAATGTGAATAATCTGTAGTGCTTCATAGTCGGACAATCTGAAAGGGAGTTTTCTTATCTGTCTCTTCGCGTGTGTAGGGTTTGGTGCCATTGGCCGGATCCAACAACGAGTCCTGGTGCCAGGGTCTTGATGGTCTTTCATCAAGGACCGCTGCCTACTACAAGCAGGGTGCCCGCTTTGCCAAGTGGTAAGGACAAAGGAATTGCACGTCTTTCAGATTCTCAACATGGCTTTGCTTTTTTTAAAATATAAAAGTTCATGGAATGTGCGGTGTGCTTACGGTCGTTTCCTTCGCCTGTGGACTGCAGGAGGACTGTCATCAGCATTCCCAATGGCCCATCAGAACTCGCCGTCCAGGAAGCCGCCTGGGGACTTGCCCGCTACGCCGCCATTTCTCAAGACAGCGGCCTCGTGCCCATCGTTGAGCCCGAGATCCTCCTCGACGGAGAGCACGGTATCGACAGGACCTTGGAGATCGCCTCCAAGGTGTGGGCTGCTACCTTCCACTACCTGGCCCAGAACAACGTTCTCTTCGAGGGTATTTTGTTGAAGCCTTCCATGGTCACCCCCGGAGCCGGATGCAAGGAAAGAGCCACCCCTGAGGAAGTTGCCAAGTACACCTTGAACTTGCTGAGGAGGCGAGTCCCACCCGCCGTCCCCGGAATCATGGTAAGTATTATTTTCTGGAGGAACGAGTCTTGGGGATCTTTGAGCAGGCATTTCCTTTCCTGAGATCGAGATTGTTAGATACTGAATTCTCCCTTAATTTGTGCAATGCAGTTCTTGTCGGGAGGTCAATCCGAGGTTGAGGCCACCCTCAACTTGAACGCCATGAACCAGAGCCCCAACCCATGGCACGTGTCTTTCTCCTACGCCCGCGCTCTGCAGAACTCCGTCCTTAAGACATGGAAGGGCCAACCCGAGAATGTCGAGGCCGCCCAGAAGGCCTTGTTGATCCGTGCTAAGGCCAACTCTTTGGCCCAACTCGGAAAGTACTCTGCTGAAGGTGAAGCCGAGGAAGCCAAGAAGGGCATGTTCGTCGAGGGATACACTTACTAAGGAGGCCAGCAGCTTCACGAATTTGTATTTTTTAGCTAAGCGCGCAGGTTTTTGACCAATAGTTCTGTAGAAGAATTTCACATTCATGTGGTTGAGCAGTTAAGTACTCCTGCGGAACGAGGGGAATGCTCAGGTCACAAAAGAGTGGCACTTTGGAATAGCGTTGAATATTATCCTATCCCCAATTACAACGATATCCGAAAACTGTAACGGTGAATAGTGAACCATCTCTGCATTTGTGTAGAACGCTTGAAAGGTAGCCAGTGCAAACCATTCATATTGTATATGGCCTCGAAGGTTACTTAATCGACGAAAAGTCTTGACGAATTATATCTTGATATATTGAGTTTTCTGTGCGAACAGTCTAGAGATACAACGTACCACTCGCCTCGTGCAGATATTTGTTTGTAATCACGAATGGGAATCTTGCAGCGTACTGTTTATAAGCACTGTGAAAATAGATAATAATGTGATTTCTTGTAACTCTTGCTTGAAAGGTGGGAGAAAGTAAACCAAGGTTGGCAAACATTTTCAGAAATGAAAGTAAATATCCAGAATGAAAAAGTAACATGTAGTTCGTTTAGAGCAAATAGTAATTATCTAAATACCCAATGATCCTATTCAAATCATTAAAAACGTAAAATTACGTTTGCTGAGCTGGAAAAATCATTTAAGAAAACAATCTGTACGTCAAACCAACTATAGAAAATAGTAAAATATATCTTGTTAAATTATCATAACCACTATGAAAAAAAAAACATAATTATCAACTTAAACTGTAAAATTAAATTACAAATCTAAAATGAAAATATCATCAAAATAATATAATTAAAATCATACAACGGCATACATGCAAACAACTATGACAAAATAAGCTACAACTGTACATAAAACAGTTAAAATAACACGAAAAATGGTAATTGTGTATTTAAGACTTATCCAAAATAAACCGCATCCGACACAGCAACCTAATGCCCCTTTGCCTCATCATCACAGCTGAATCGACAAGAATATCACACATTGATTACACATTACTTTATTAAAACGTTACTGGAGAGCGGGAAAGTATAGCGGGCAACAACAAGAGCACACTAACTTATGCACTGTAGCAATCTGAAAAATCCCTCCTATGAAAATGCCGCAGAACGTAATTAAGAAAGAATCTCTGAGAAGAATTTGCGTCTGTCACGAAAAGATATGATGATGTCGACATATTTGGGTTGTAGAGGCCTGTACTGACTTATGTACATAGCATATAGCACCTATGCCGAAAAAGGGTGGACAAGGAAACTGTCACCTACAATGGACACGATACAGGACCAACTTTCGAAAAGCGGCTAGACTTTATTCCATACAGGGCTCGCTCACATGAGCGCTCGCTGCACTGTATGTGTGAACAAGGCTTCGACAGAAGACGACAAAGCCAAGATTGGAGACCACAGAGCTATGTAGAAAAAGTGTTGATATTGCGGCCGCATAGAGCAGATAAGAAACAATATCCCGGTTCTTTACTCTTGAGCCCATCAATTCGCCTCTACAGTTATCTCTCTGCTCCCTTGGCTGACACCCGCACTCGGCAGATAAGAATATAGTACCCCAGATGCGCATCATACTCTTCACGTGAATTAGCCCGCACACCCCGATTTCTTCTATTCTTCCTACTAATCGATGCATCGATCGGAAACTGTCTTCACCGGCTCTCTCTGCATCCCAGGCAGGTGGATTGGATTGGATTGAACCGGCTCGAACTTCTCGTTCGGAAGCAGAAATGAAGATGTAACAGGGACTGGTTTTCATTCTGACCGTCGAATGTTAGGTTTCAAGGAACATTTGTTTTCATCGGAAGAAAGAAAGGAGGCCCAAGTGGATTGAAAAAATGATCGGAGTAACCCCCATCGAGCCTGTTCTCCTTGAAGGACGACGAAAACATTCTTGGCCAATTGCTTCCACGATTCCAGTCCATCCATCCATCCATCTCGACTGTACATCGCCAGTGAACTATTCCGAACTTCCAGCGTCTTAAGCAGCAAGTCAAAACTCTAAAAAACAGAAATTGCCTCCACAGAAGACAACCGTCCATTCGCAAAGGCCAATTATAGACACACAGACAACTTTGGACTGTGGCGGCCACCGAGGGTCGGGGGACGGGCTCTGCCGAGCATCCGTTTGCAGAATCTGGAGGACTCGCTCCCGTTCGTGTGTCCTCGGTGTTCAGGATTCAGCTGCTCTCTCCTCTCCTCGTAAGCCTTGCATTGCATTGATGGCGGGCTTGTCTTTCCTGGTGCTGAGCAGGCGGCCGCGGCGATATTTTCTCAAAAGCGCCAACAGGATGCGCATCTATTCTTCGAGAATCCAGATCTACGACACAGATTCCTCCTTACAACATCTCTCCGCCCGCTCTAAATTCGGGGCCTGGCCCTCGATTTCCGTTTCCCGGTTACATCCTTTTGGCTATCTACTTGGAAATATCTCGTTCTAGGCTCTGAGAAGCCAACAGACGAAGACCCCCACTATTCTGTTTAATTTTCGGAAGAAAACAAAACATCGTGGAAGGGACCAAACATTTTGGCGGTTGAGAATTCGAACTATCACTTCGAAAATACTTACTATATTCTCTTGAGCTCTTGAGGTGTAGTATATACAGACCAGGGTTACGGGCTTCGGGATGAACATTAGGGTGACAAGAAGACCTACATAGACTTGAGAAATTGACTTAAAAAAAAGTAGGTACCATCTTATGTAACAACCTGCTACCCCTCGCATATATTGACTTATTAAGCGAATGACCACACATCTCAGCTCTCAATTGCAAATATCTGCGACTGAAAATAGTTGGCCAAGCATCGAAGATAGTAAAGATGAGATTTTGTCATCTTTACAATCTGAACAATCAAGATCTTGAATTATAGGGGTTTGTAAAGTTTTTCTTTATATCCTCTAAGTTATATGGAGTTTTGAAAAGAGTGGAAAACCATAGATACTCATATTCAGAGGTATGAATATCGGTTTATTCTTTGCAATATATTTTTCATGCTTTCACAAATTGAACTTGTTTCGTCATACAATCTCTTGAGGCGATCATACTCTAAATGCTCAATTTTTGGATGTTGAGAGTTACAATATTTGAAAAAGAATATATTATAACCTTAATGATGATTTGTCCCAGCACGATGTTAGTTGTGAGATTTCTACAATTATTTGTTTTGATCTCATACTTTGTGTAATTTTATCAAAAGAGAATAATTCACAATGAAATTAACACTTTTGTTGTCTCTCATTAAAGAAATAGAGTCATAGAGCCATTATTTACCCACATATTTGAGGTTTCAAACTTCATAAATAAAGAACAAAGAAGAACTATCTTATCTCAAAACAATTCTTGTTTCAATGGAAGCTCTGAAGATTTAGGAGCTTCTCAAGGCACCAGGAATCGTTCACGAGTTTGAAAAGGTAGAAGATCTTGTTCTGCATGGGAAATAAGCTTCTCAGATCTGATGAGAAGAAGTGTGAAGGAATGATGATATACTTTCAAAAGGGAAATAGTCAAGTTGATTTAAACAATCTTGAACGACCTTGATGAACTTCGACAAGAATTTGAGCTAGAAACTGTTCAGCTCACTCTCGCTCATACTCAGATACGAGAGTCAGAAGCTTCACTGTAAGCCATGAGGATAGAAATGCAAGAGATTTCAAGTGTGATGCTTCATATTTCCGAAACCCTCACTGATGTTTAGACTAAGAACATATTTTTAGCAACTGTTACTAGTAGCCCACAATTACACAAAGTGGTAGACACCTTAGAATTAAAACTCAAGTTGTATGTTGACGCTATTAAAGTTGCGCATATTTCTTTCTGTCAAGAACAAAGGAAGAATGTCTCGTAGGAAGAATGTTAGGATATCTAGTTTATTAGACAAAAAAAATGAAGATGTGGAAACTGTCATCAATAAAATATTAATGAACACATTACATGTTCACAATCCAGACTTGGTCTAGATTTTTTAGATCGAGAAAACTGGCACACAATTTCGGACCATTCTTCTTAAGTTTGTCAACCAGTTTCAACGTGATACTGCCATGGCCAAAAAATCTATTAGTAAAGAACCAAAAAAATTGTTGGGTCGCGACCTTACTCCATTGCAAGTAGAAGCTAGAAGGAAGGAACTTGAAATAGTCAAGAAGTCTCAAATGTCAGGTTTTGTCGCTTATTTGTGCGATGATAGAGCAATTGTCACACAAAATAGAAAGAGTCATCTACAAAGCAATCCCGAGAGTTGAGGTTGTTGGTGTGGAATATTTAAGGATTGTCATCATCAAAGTATGTGAGTGCCGATTTAATCTAGTAAAAGGAGACGTCATCGACATCGTGGAGACTTGAAAACACAAAAGTTACACTATTATTGAGCTACAAGGATTCATCTTGGTGGGGTCAACATGGAACCAGAGAAGACAACACGCGAGAAGGTATCATGTAGATATTGACACTTTAATCAAATCTAAATTTCAATTTGTTATTCATTTAAAAGCTCAAGATACTAGAGGTCAATATAATTGATTATGTCTTGTGCTTAGAGGATCTCATTGCTATCTGACAATGTGTTATCTTGCGCCATTATCAATGCCTATCTACTTCACACGTTTTTGCAAACAAAGCCAATCATTTCATCGGCTCATTAAAGATGTACTCAAATATAAAAGCAAATGAGATGTCTTTCTAGCTGAACTTCTTCAATGCTCGCATATGTTATATCCACTTCATTCAATTTTATAACTCTTTGATCTCTTTTGCTTTGGAAGATTTTGACGATTGTCAATGATTTAGACTCTCTTTTGATCCTTCTACAAACTCTTTGACTAAACATTTTCTAATTTTTGGGGCCACTTGTAACTTGAAAGTCTTTAATGGAATCTTCCGCTTTCCCAACTCTCATTCCAATACATGTTTTTACTCTTCCGGTTTCAACACGTTAGATTTTTTTCCGCAATTGATAGTTCTCTTATCTCTACTTTCTCTACTCAAGTCCGATCATGCACCTCTCTTGTGTACTCTATCAATATCAAAAAGGGCACGACTAGGACCACATCCGCTTTTGCTACGGCCACATCCGCCCGCTAATTATCATGCCCATGTTCGCTTCTGCTACTACCCAAACGCACTTCTGCTACAAATCAAGCGCACTACTACTGCCCAAGCTCCAACAACGCGGGAAACAGCGACAGCCGCAACGGCCCTGCGCCCCTCGAAGCCTCTCGACTACGCTCTCCTCTGACTCGTGGATGAGCTCGGCTTAACAACTGGGTTTGAGGGGAGGCGTGCTTTGACGCGCAATCAGTTGTTTGTATGTAGCGAGTGTGGCCGTAGCAAAAACGAGTGTGGCGTTAGTCGTCCCCTATCAAAAACTATTTCTCCCTCAATCAACAAACCTGTTCTATCTTTTTTCAGTTTTTGCTTACTACCTTGTAAAAAAAATCTTTATGTAACACATTTACAAGATCTTCTCAAACACACTGATTGGAGCTAAGACCCACATATAGCTAGTTTGCAATTCATAAAATTACTCAAAAAACCTTGTGTCTGAGTTATTTCTACAACAAAGAAACATGATGACTAGGAGATTCGTTTGTAACGGATTGTTTAACTGTGATTACAAGCTAGCAAGAGCAAGAGCAGTTGATAGATATTTGGATCTCCAAAGCCAACTTCTTTTGACAAGGACATACAAATAGTTGGTGAAGTCTAAGAAAATAGCTTTTTTGAAACAAAAGCAGGAATCTGTGACTAAAGAGTTGATTTGTGATTGCTAGATTAAGGATGTTTGACATGCCATTTGTGCATTTCCAACTTCTAGAACCTTCACTTGTCACTAAGTCAACATTAAACTTAGTCTAACCAATGAAGTCTCCCTTACTTAGTCAAAACAATCAAAACTAAACATGAAGTCAAAATTATATTTTCTTAATATCTAGACTTTTGTATAAGACAAAATAGAAATGCTCACTCAAATCTTCTAAAACTTCTCTAGTTATTCCGCCAAATATAGAAGTTATAGCTAAACTTAGTTATAACTTGATAAATTAATTTAAAGCTATATAGACTTAGCCATGACTAGCTAGATTTAGTTATAACTAACATCATCATGATTAATTCCTTGGCTACTTCTAGCTCTATTTCACACATACAACATTTGATCTTATAGGCATGACTCGGGACGAGGCATGCCTATAAGATCACGGGGGCATGTCCATGAGCATGCCTCAATCACATTAATGCATACGGGCATGCATGTACGTATTAAATAACATGAATACGGTAACTAGCCGTGTTACGTGTCAACATTGAAATGGTTTTACGTGGCACTTTCTAAAAAAATGATGTATTTCGCAATGTTCTACGTTCAAACTTTCAAGATTAAGTAAATGCTCGATAGCGTTTTGCTTCTCATGATTTCAAGATTTGGTATTTCTTCTTCTTCTTCTGTTTTTTCACTGTGTTCATGACTTACTCTGTTATTCTCTAATAGAGTGCATGTTTAGGTTTTGTGCTTTAGTGCGTGACTGAATCTAATAATCAATGTTTAATACCTTGATGATCTAACGTGTGCAGGTTCTAAGATTCTGATGGATTCATATGCCCTTAATCAACGTGATATTCTAGAATCTGAATGTGAAAACGTAGTTATGGGTTCACAACCAACCTCAGTTTAGAAAACAGAATTACCATGTGGATGAACCAAATCTGATGAGACTATAAATCTAAGATGATATTGTTTTTATTGCTCTTTTGAAAAAGAAAGTGAGAATCAGTATCGTGCAAAGTATATACATTGTGGAGAGGTGCTTAATGATAAACTTGATAAATTAGATTTCCACATACTACATTGTTGTACTTTGGATTATGTAAGTATAGTTGAATATATGCGCATTGTTAAACAATTTTCAAAGAAAAGATGTATTTTAACACATACTTCAATTAGATCTCAATTGGGTTTTGAGTCAGAGCAAATCATTTCTTCAAGGCAATACCAGCAATAACTGCCTAAATACTTTAGTTTTTCAATGATTGTAAATATACAAGAGAGCCATCATTTGAGGTTTGTAGACTTTTTAGCGACTTTCAACAGTACTTTCAATGTATGTTGCAACAAAGAGCTGGATATGTTTATTCGTGGAATCAACCCCAACTACACTCTTCCTTCTAGAAGGATGGTCTCAAATAGATTGTTACAAAATGTTACAGTGAGTGCTTATTGGAGTTAGAAGAAGAGTTTAGATATGCCAATGGTGTGACAATAACTATGGATGGATGGTAAGATGTGTCCATCAATATGATTCATTTTGTGATGACCATCACAAGTGTAAAACAATGGATCTTAGACATTGTGCATTTTTCAAGATGTTCAATTGCAAATGCATTGCAGCAACAACTGATACTGTCA